CCACAGGCTCTTGGTAAACCTGGCTGCAACAGCAGCGAGCAGAAGTATCCCAAACACAATATACTTTTCAAGTTTATCTATCATAAAAGCTCCTCCACATGCTTTTATGGTCACAGGCTAACCCTGTGTAAGCACCCAGCCAAGTGAAAGGGGAAGGAAGGAAATTAAACAATACCACGTTTAAAGACCAGATTTCAAGCTAATATATCTTTTTTTAGCAGGCACAATGCAAAAAGAAACGCATTTCTCACAGTTACAGGATGAAATTTTCAGTTGGTCAGAAACTACAAACCTTATTCTCTACTTCTGACTGTGGCCACATGACTGTCTCAATACATAAGGTCATTTCACATGCCAACTTGCAATGAAGACAACATAGTTAATAGTTTGCAACCTCCTTTCCCCCAGAAGATCTTCAGAGTTAAGTAATAAAATTCCTCACATGATTTCAATGAGAGGGTTCACTTGTCGGAGGCTGTTTCAAGATAGTATCATATGTCAGGGAGGTGCTGCTCGGGAGAAGCTTTCCAACCTTGTGCTTTCAAGGCTTGACTGAAAAATGGAAAAAAAAAAAAAAAAGAAAACAAAAAAAGAAAACCTCCAAAAATTTCAGGCTATAAATCTTGAAAATCGACGAAAGAAAAATTATCTCTGTATGTTGTTTTCAAAATGTGGAAGTTAGGCAACTAATGGGGGAAAGAAGAAAACCTCTGATTAAAGCCCTGACAAACGCTCAAGATCACAGAGCAATGACTAGTTTTACCACAGACTCCGCGTCAGAACCCAGGTAAGTTAATCCTTCTACACCTTGGTTTGCCACCTGTGAAATGACAAGTAACACTTTCTTTTCATATCCTGTTATTCTTGCTTGTATTATTCCCCAAATTAAAAGCATTTGCCAAAACACTTATCTTTAGCATTAACACTGGAAATTGCACTCATAGCTAACATATAATCAGTCTGCATGAGTGAGTGTTCAAATGTGAACTCTTCGTATACTTTGCTATCCAGCCATCCTAATTTTCTGTATGTTAGAAGGAAACTTTAGTCAAAACAGGAATACGAGAATGCCAAAATACCGTTGATTAGTAATCTTACATATAAAACCAAATTTAGGGATATGAGTTAGATGAAAAAGAATTAAATTCTTCTTATCATCTCCTAAAACTCCTACCATAATCATGACATTGGTCTCACTTCATTGATAAACCACAATATCATATTATCAGTAGGTATAATTAAAGCCCAATCCCACGAGGACATGTATGCAGAATCCAATGCCTGCTCCATTAAAATCAGTATAAAGTGAAATCGACTTCAGTGACTTCAGTGGAAGTGTCAAAGCCACATAAAGTTATCAATAGAAGAAACAACAGCACAGGGTTTGTGCAGCAGGATTCCTAAGCTAACAGATTCCTTTCAAGTGCTTGATTTCAAATCCTAAACTTTGCAGAAGATAAAAAAACACTTGCCACAGATCCCAACACTGTTAATTCTTTAGTGTCCCTAAAAGCTCTGCACAGAAATCCCTGTAAAGCACAAGTTGCTTTCTTTAGATTAAAATGTGTTGTCGTTTCATGCAAATTAGTTTATTTTCTGACATACACAACCAAACATCTTTGAGCTCCCTTTGTGAAAGGGACAGTCCATCATTCTTTTTTTTCTCATGTTTCAGTTTCATTAATTCTTTCAATTCTCCACCCAAACATCATATCCAAAAGACCCAAATTTCACCACTGCCCCACTGACATACAAAAAAAAAAAAAAAAGCAGTCCTAAAAGTTAACGATAGAACAATCCCTGAATTCATGCTTACGAAAAAATCATCTTATTAAAATTCATTTTAAAGTGAATGTCTGAACCCCGCTGTTTTCCTAGCTTCAGATACCAATGAAAAACACCATAGTAAACACTTCCATGAATTTATGGATTATTACTATAAACACTTCATAATAATTTAATTTTCAAAACATAGGACTACCATGAATTTTTAATATCCTTTTGAAAGAGACCAGTAAGACCCACACAGAATCTGCCTCAGAAGTAAGCTTTCTGCAGCTGACACCGGTTACTGACTGTGTGGAATTATCAAAATCACGCTGCTAGAGAGCTGCACATTTTCTAGAAAGGTCAACAAATAGAAAGGAATTGCTCCAGAGGGCTCAGTGAAGTAGTTATAGAGATAAGCAGGCCTCATCCACACAGGATTTTCTTCAACATTTCCTTACCACTCTTCAAAAATCCTGCAGTTGCACCTAAGGTAGCATTCCTTTAACACAGCAGTCTGCATACCACAATGTCGTCTAGACCTGCTCTGAACAGTTGGATGACACAGGAGTAAAACTGCTGATGTCTGTTCTGGTGCTTGCACTGGTGTTAAAGGAACGATAGGAGGAAGAACAGACATTGCTGAGTAAAATACAAGTTCCTTGTTCCTAGTCTCATGCCCAGGCTCGTCAGACAATTCTGTCAACCATAGAGAAAAAGTTGTGGCTATTGTGGGGCTGAAGCAGCAGCTTCACAGGAGGAAAAACAGCATTCCCAAACCCCAGTTTTCAGATGCAGCATCAAAACCTTGCTCTTTCACAGAGCCCAGTGCTCCCATAACATGCAGATAACAAATGCATCCCTGCACAAATAACATATCCCATCCCTTTCTCGCTTCTCCCCTACTTCCTTCCCCCATCTGCATCTGAGAGACCTTTTCTTAGCAATTTGGAAGAGAAATTACAAAAAGGGAGACGCGAAACACAGAAATAAACTAAGTTTGTTCTCTGCTGTTGAAGGATTTGGTCTTAGCTTGATGGGGAAAAAAAAAAAACAAACAAAACCCCAACCAAAAAAAATACCCTTAAGAGTGATAAATCCATATATATCTACTCCAAACTACACCCCACATCCCAAGGGACACAGTATAATGGTAAATAAATATAGATGCAGTTCCTACTAATGAGGCAGGGTACAGCAAGGCCAAAGAAAATGCAATCATCTAGGGAAAAAAAACTGCACAGGACTCCTCCTCTCCCATCCATGGAGGAAATCAAACGCCAGCTGCACCATCCCAGGAAGGAAGCAGAGTCTGTACCTGATGAGCCCTGCAGAAATGAGCTAGTCATATCACGGGACGCAAGCAGGCACTTCAGGGTTTTGCCAGCCCACAAATTGTCTGCAGAGCACAATTCCTCTCTCCGATACGATGTATATTTTACATGGCATCATTCCTGCAAATTGGAAGGGGCTATTTTCCCCACCAGTTTCTTTTTCTCCAACCCCATCAGTCTGAAGCAGGGGCACGTAGCTAGTGTCTAGCAGATCTGCTCCGGCGCTGCTCTTAAAAAGCGTGCCCTAGCCATCAGCTTAACACTTTCCTCCCTACAAAGTTTAAATCTTCCCACCTTTTGTTCACATACATTTTGTACTTAAAAGCCACTTATCTGTAGTCCCAACGTTACTTCAGCATAAAAACAGAGATACATCCGATTCCACAAACAACCAGCAACCACGCTCACAATCTTCATTTCCTCTTCCTTCTTCTCTCCCCACCCCCCTAAAAAAGCTTTTTTTTTTGTCCCTAACGCGAAGGAACCGGGGAAAAAACAGCATATACACAAGTAAGGCTTTTCAGACCTATCACAAAGACAAAAATGCTCCCCGAATAAGTGCTCTGCAAACATACCAAGAGACTGAACTAGGCTCAACTAAAAAAAACCCCACCAGACCAAACTGAGGTTGAAGAACTCGCTCGCTCTCCCTCGCATGTGTATTCTGCACCTAAAACCACTCGCCCCTTTTCTGTTTTAACCCCGACCCACAGCGTAACAGTCCAGCGGCATTCCCCGCCGCTTCCTCCTGCCGGTTCAGCGGTCAGATACACTGTTCTTCCGAAAAAAATATCCCAGGCGCGGCTACAAATGCATTTAACCCCCTCCCCTTCTCTTCCCAACAAGTACAAAATAAACAAGCGTATGACACCCCACCCAAGCTCTCCCCACACAATTTAGGAATGACTGCTCTCCTTCCCCACCCGTTCTCATGTTTAAACTCTCCAACCTTCGGGTTCACGCCTTTGCCCTCCCCAAAAACCCTCTCAAAGCCCCGGGAGCTGCAACAGATCTCGCCCTCTTCGTCGCGCCCCAGCCCTGGAAGCCAGAGGGTTTGGGAACAGCCCGCCCCGGTTTCCCTCACACCCATAGGCACAAAGCACTTGGGCTCCCGTAGAAAGGAACCCCCGGAGCCCTCGCACACCTCTGAGAGCCCCACAGGCCCCGGCATGGCAGAGCCCCGGTGAGAGGGCTCAATGCCGGGCGCGACCCGTACGGAGAACCGGTCTCCAGCCCCGCGGGGTCGGAGCCTCCCTCGGCCTCCCCCGGGCCGGGCCAGGGCACCTCCCAGGTCCCGGAGGTAGCGGGGCCCCGCCGCCCTCTGCAGCCGCGCTGGGTCTCGCAGCAACCCAGCCCCAAACTCAGGGGCGAACAAAACCGAAACACCACAGAAATACAAAAAGGCACCCACCCAGGCTGAGGGGACTCCGCCACCAGGAGTGCGTGCCCCCCACCGGGGAGAGGGGTGGAAGAAACAAGAACAGATAAATAAACGGCAGGAAGAACCATGGAGGGCTCTCCTGTAAAGCCCGGAGGTGGCCCTGCCCTCCCGCAGACCCCGCGGCAGCCTCCCGGGGACACCGTCCTCCTCCCCTGCTCCGGGGCCGCCGAGGATAAGCGGAGCCCCTCAGAGCTGCGGCTCCAACTCTGCCGGCGAAGCGGCTGCTGGGCTGCCCCTGCCCGCCCCCCGCCGCCCCCCGCCCAGGCTGCCCCCCTCACGCACATCCCACGTTACGAGGAAACCCGCTCTCCGCCGCGGCGCGACTCTCCGCAGGCGGCCACGGCGCCGGCTGAGGGGGGACCCCCTGCCCGCCCCCCCCCTCCCCTCCTTCCTCCAGCCCACCCACCCGCCCGTCCCCTCCCCTCACACCGCCGCTCCCCCCTTCCAGCAACACTCACCTCTGGGTGCCGGCGGCGCCTCCACCTCACCATGTAACGGCAGGAGTGGGGGGGGTCCCCCCGCCTGCCCCAGCGTGAGGGGAGATGAACGGGAGTGCTGAGGGGCGAGGACAAAATGGGGGGAGGAAATCCCTCGGCTACCTCACCCCCCTCCCCAGCCCCCTGAGGACCAGGGACCCCTCCCTGTGAGGCCCGGCTCCTGCCGCTCCCTGCGCCTCGCCCGCTCCCTCTGGTTTGTTTGGGTTTTTTTGGCTCAATCACACCAGACTGACTGTCTTTGTCTGTCTGACAAGCGCCATGTTGATATCAACATCCAAGCTCCCACCTGCTGCCGATGTGAGACCATGGGACTTGTAGTTCCCGCCTCCCCAGGGTGACGGGGAGACCCGCAGCGAACGGACTACAACTCCCAGCACACCTCGGCGTCGCGGCGCGCCGGCGGAGCGCTGGGCTCAGCGAGAGGCGGACTACAACTCCCGGCATGCCTCGGGAATGACCTCATCCTGGGCGGGGGGGGGCAGTGGGACTGCAAGTCCCATGATTCGGTGGGGCGCGGGCAGGAAGGGAAGGGGGGGGGCCAGGATTGTCCTGGTAAATAGAGCCGGGGGAAGCATGAAGCTGGTGAGTGCATGAGGAGGGGGTGTTGCGAGGGGCTCAGCCTGCCCCCTGCGGCGGGGCTCCCCGCGTTGTCTGTGGGCGGTGGCAGCAGCCTCAGCCCCGAGGGTGGGAGAGGAAGCTGAGGCTCTGCAGGGGGTGGCCCGGAGGGGCCCGTGGGGGCGGGCCCAGCGCTCCGCTCCCCTCAGCAGCGCTGCGCGCAAGCCGCCGCCGGGGCAGGCCCACGGAGAGTCGGCGGGCGTGGGTGAGGGCAGGGGCACAGGCCGCAGCGGCGCTCCTCTGGTCTTGTGCCGGTGGTGTAGCGGCTGCCCGAGCTTGGGGAGTTTGGGTTGGATGAGCACAAGTCTTAGGAGAAACGGCTGAGGGAACTGGGGTGTTCAGTCTGGAGAAGAGAAGGTTCAGGGGGACCTTATAGGTCTCCACAACTGCCTGACAGGAGGTTGTAGCGAGATGGGGTCAGTCTCTTCTCCCAAGGAACAAGTGATAGGTCAAGAGATAACGGCCTCAAACTGTGCCGGGGAGCTTTAGATTGAGTATTAGGAATAATTTATTCATGGAAAGGATAGTAAAGATTGGAACAAGTTTCCCAGGGAAGTGGTGGAGTCACCATCGCTTCAAGTGCTCAGAAACCGTGTAGATGCCCTCAGTGACATGGGTTAGTGGTGGACCTGGCAGTCCTGGGGTTATGGTTGTACTTGATGATCTTAGAGCTCTTTTCCAACCTAATTGATTCTGTGATTCTATGATAAATGTTTGTGAGATTCACAAGGAAGAGGAGGAGAAATTTCTCTGCCCTTTACACTGCACAAGCCTTGCCATGGAACAGAGCAGGAGCTAGCCCCACTGCATGTGTGACTTTACTGGGTTGCTCTGAGAATATTAATAAATACCCGTGGTTCATAATAGAATTGTTTCCACAAGCAGTATGATGTTAATACAGCTAGTTACTAATGAGAAAATCAGCCTGGAATAACTTTGTCAAGTGTTCACTGTGCTTCTGACAAGTACTTTGGTTCTGATATAACAATCCTGTAAAGGGAAAGTTGATAGAAAATACATTACCCGTATTGTTTTCTCTCCAGATTTCCCTTTTCAACTTGTTAAGTTCCCCAGAGACCTTTGATTCAGCTGCTACCTTATTTTCTGGATGCTTATTTCTGCTACTTTATTTCTAAGGAGCTGTGGCTGCCCCATCCCTGGCAGTGTTCAAGGCCAGGTTGGTCAGGGCTTGGAGCAACCTGGTCTAGTGGAAGGTATCCCTGCCTGTGGCAGGGGGTTGGAACTAAATGAGTTTTAAGGTCCCTTCCAACTCAAACCATTCTATGATTAAGAATTTCTGTTACACCTAATGTACTACAGTTCTTTGGAGGTGACAACCAAAGCAGGTTTCAAGATACCTGAGCAGAACTTTTGAGTTGTATAACCTGAAGTTACACTGTTGTTAAATATATGATTGTGTCTGAGTTTTGAGACTGAGCAGTTTGTCTTGAGGAAGCTTCATAGAAGTTAACTTGGATTCTAGGTTTGTTTTGAGGCTTCCAGTAAATCACTATCTCCAGTGTAACCATGTCAAATAAATTCAGTAAGCAGGTGGCTGAAGAGCTTGATCACAGAATTACAGAATGATTTGGATTAGAATGGACCTTAAAGCTCATCTAGTTCCAACACCCTGCAACAGGCATGGGCACCTTCCATTAGACCAGGCTACTCAAAGCCCCATCCAACCTGATTATATAATCTTGCATATGCAATTAAGCCTCTGTGAGTGGATAATACCAGTGGGACAAACTGCAAAGCTAAGCACTTCTGGACATGGTTGTAGAGCCTGAGATAATGTGGGGTGGGGAAAGCAAACTGAGAAACATCTAAATGAAGACCATAGTGGAAATGCAGGGGTTTTTTTTAAATCTGGAGTCTTGCATAGGGATAGAGAGAGGAAAGAGTTTGGGGAGGGGTTGGAATGCAACCCACCTGAAGTCTGTATTGTAATGTTTTTAGATCTGTGTTTAAATTTGGAGACTGGGGATCATAGAGATTCTTCATCTTACATTTATCTGGAGATGTGCCTGTATCTCCAGGTTGTGGTGGGAGGAGTTGAATACTATTTCATCCTCTTTATTTTTTCCATTTATTTGGGTGGAATTTGGAAGAACAAGGGAGAGGTGACAGCCTCCAGACCTGCTTCAGAGTCCAGTGAAAATGTCAGACTCCCACAAATTCAAATGTGCTTTGGTCCAGGCAAATCTAGTTGCTAATTTCCCCTTAGATTTTAAGGTAGCATGTGATATTAACACTGGAAGAATGCACTGCAGTATTTGTTGGAATTCAAAGCACTGGCTTTAACCTGCATAATCTTGCATGTTTTGGAGCTGCTAGTGTGAGACATCATCTCTTTTCTGTCACACTGCCATCCATAAGATCATCAGAGACCTTCTGAGCTGAGAACCTCCTGCTGTGAGGGCCTCAGCAGCTGGAATGAGCCGGCATTCTGGTCTCTGTGCCCTGCTCTGTCAAACTTCCATCCAGTTTACAAAGGCTGCCAAGAAGGTTGTGAGCTGAGCTGGGCTGTGTGTTTTGTGACTTTTTTTCTATTACTACTTTTTAGTTAGGCACCTAGTGTGTTCACTGCACCAGTCTTTAGCCATAATGCAATAATGATGGAAGGAAACAAATCTTCAAGCAGAAAGGATGTGCATTTTAGTCCAGTCAGGATTATTAGTGATTGGAATCTCTGGATCTGTTTTAAACAGTAGCAAATATGAACCAGGTAAAAATTATCACATTTCTAGTACATATAGAGATGTATATAGTACAAACATTCAGATTCTCAGATTACTAGTCTAAAATTCTAATAGAGGTACAAGCCCAGAAATCTCACCTGTGCAAATAGCTGTATAAGATATGAAGTGCTGTTTTAGTTCTTTTTAGTCACTTCACTTGAATCTGGTAGAAAGAACCCATTGCCTCCCTGGAATCCATTTACCACAGCATGACAGCCACAGATATAGATTATTTTAAATGCTTTTAAAGAAGAAAAAAGAAAGGTTTTTCCAGTTAGCTCGGAGATGTCAGGGTCATGATCCTCTTCATGATTTTAATAAAAGCAAGAAAGTGTTTTGCTGATAACAGTGGTGATATTTCATTGCCTTTTTTAATTACCAGTACTTCAAAAGCTACAAAAATAGTTTAGATCTTTTTTTTCCTTTGTTTCTTTCTACTTGCTTGGATTTATAGCATCAACTGTCAAAGGTCTGATCTGGCAAGAACTTAATTTCACATGTGTATTTTACATTTACAACTAAACCAACTGAATTCCTTACCTGTGTACTCCCCTCTTCACCAGCCTGGCTTTTCACCGTTGTTTTGAACTTTGCTAATAGCAGGCAAAATGTAATGTTTAATAACCAAGGCTTTGTGAATTTAAAACAAAAGTCTTTGTGATCTTTTTAATTTAATACTGGGGCCTTAGTAGCTTTTTAGTATTTAAATATAATTTAAAACAGGTTTCTGAGGAATGTATTTAACAGACTCCCTGGGAGTCGCTAATCCAGACACTTACAGTCCTGTGTTAACATATCGTGAGCAGAGGTAGGAAGTGAAATTATTAATCTACCTTCTTTCCCCTTCATCGAAGGAAGTATATAGAGCAAGCATAACTATAAATGACTTAGAAAATGACTGAGTCTGGTTTTAGTGCAGTGCATGGCCAACTAATTGATATTTTTCATCTTAATTGATCAAAACTTTAATTTAAAAGCTCAAGTTTGACCACCTGAGCCGCCAGATGCCCAGATTTCAGAGATGCAAAAACTTCCCTTCTAGATGCAAAATCTCTTTTACTTGCAATGCCTGAAGGAATTAATCCTCAAAGAAGAGAAACACTCACCTCGAGGCGTCCACGCACTATTCAGGCATTTAGGTTTCAAAACCCGCATTTTAAAGCTGGCATTTTTATTCACTTTGCTTCTTATTCAAAGCTTCAGCTGCTCCTGTGCCTTGTTAAGTGTTTGCCGCTCTCCATACAAGAGGTGACTGCATCTCAATGATGCTGAAGTGCCCTGGTACATAACCTGCTCACTGACTCATTAAGCTTGCAAAGCAGTTGGAATTTCTCAGTACACAAACCCTTCCATTCAGGTGTGGTTGTCCATTCCCTCGTGTTTCCTGTTTGCGTTTAGCAAGACAAAAGCCAGGTGAGAGCATGCCCCAGAGCTGCTTCGGTGCACACTACGGCTTCCCCTGCTGATCTGTGCCAAGCAGCCGCAGCTCCTGCTCCACCGTGTTTGGTTGTTCAGTCAGGTTTCTTAAGGAAATAAAACTTGTGTTTCTGCAGGGATTCTCTCCCTCTCTTTCCATCCCAAGTAGTTTTCAAATGTACTAGTCAAGTTCAGCCAGGTTTTGCCAGTAGGACTGAGTTTTGAAGAAACCAATGTTCTGGGATTTTTGTGAGAACAGGCAATTGTTAGGAAAAAAAAAAAAAAGAGAGATTCTGCATGTGTTCTAAATTGTAAAAGGAGCTATACCATCCTCTCAACCCTTGTCTGAAGAAAATCCACCCCATAACACCCCATAATACCTGGGGAAATCTCAATGAATACACATCGGTGTGAGACACAGATTTATAGGAAATCAGGTTTTGTTCTGGTGTGTATGAAACTGCATGTTTAAAAATAAGGGGGAAAAAAAGAATTTTTTGGTGGGAGGGGAGGTCACTGTTAGTAAAGGTCATGAGTAACATCCTGATTGTATTCTTGCAGTACTGCCTGTCAGGACACCCAACCTTACCATGCAATGTACTCAAGTTCAAATCCACCACCATCATGTTGGATTGTGGACTGGATATGACGTCTACCCTCAATTTTCTCCCATTGCCGTTGGTTCAAAGGTATGTTCTGCAGCCTGTACACACTTTGTCTGTGTTTTCTTGGGTTGCAGTTGGAGTGCTCTGTGTGAAATGGTGTATTGGAAGAAGGGAGGGGATGAGTACAAATGAACAGCATCATCCGATATCATAAATAGACTTTGTTCACTTAAAAATTCTCTTTATCAAAATAACAGCCTTTGGCTCAGTAGACGGAAGACATTTTATGGATTTATTGATTGGTTTTTCTAGATAATTTATTCTAAGCTTCAGTAAAGTATTGCTGCAACTGCTCAGCACAAGTGAGGTCACATATCTGTCATCTTTCTGGCTTCTTCATGCAAGATGAGATAAATGGATAACTGAGATGGAGTGAGTGGAGCCCAGCAAGTACTGTTTAACCACCATCTTCTCAGGCTTTTCTTCAGAGCACAGACTAATGCAAAGAAAAATAGCACTTAACAGTCTGGTTAGTTGACTTGATGGCATAATTGTTCCCTTTTAAAAATTAAATAAACAAAAGATATGTGCAGCTGAGCATGAGAATGGAACCTCAATGAAAGAAAAGTAGGATCTAGAAGAGAATCCTGAGGTCAAGGCACTCCCTTCTGTGCCCAAACTAGAAAGTAATATTTTCCCTGGTTTTTGGGTGAATTTGGTTATTCAGTTAGAGTGACTTATGTCTTGCATAAATGAAATAAATTATGAAAATGAGTGGTTGGAAAGGTGGAAATGAGTAAACTCTTGGTGGTGGGAAGCAACAAGAGTTTTCACAAAAGCCATTTAGTAATTTTGATCAACAAGGAAACAAGTGAGGAGCGTTCTGGGTTCAGGGGAGGCTTGACTGAGAAAGGGAGAATATGACTGGGAAAGGGAGTTTCCTAAGAGACCTAATGAGGTTAAATCAGTTTGTCCAGCACTTCCTATGATTTGTTATTTTTTGACAGGAAAAGAATAGACAATGTATGCATTGTTCTTCAAGAACATGGAGTTCAAGATCTGCTGTAGAGTAGGCAACAGATGCCTTAAGACAGATCAGTGTGGTAGTCATTTTCTGTCCCATCCATAATTGCTAACTACAGCATTTAGGGGCAGCAGTTGATTTGTAAACGATCTGGAAAATTTGGGAAATGGAGAATTGCCTTGCATTTGCTTTCTCCTGAGACAAGGAGGCACAAAACCACAAAATGAAATATAAATATTTGTAAATAAGTAGAATCAGTTTTAAATAACATTAAGTATGATGGCTTTGTAACAGGAGCAATGGAAAATAACTGGGGTGCATGATTTACAGAAAAAAAAAAAGTAGAGTGTGGCTAGAGAACATACTGAGAATTCTTGTATAAGATAAACCATTGTAGTTGGCGTAGTTTTAGGTCCTTATGACCTTAATACAAAATAAGTGTAAGAAAAGCAGGATAGGAAAACAGGACGTGGGGATGGGGAGTATCTGGAACTAGCAGATGTCCAGGATGGGCTGCAGCTAAACTAACTGATAAGTAGGACAGGATGATTGCTATGTCTGTAGTGTTAATGAGCCAGTTAAGCTGGTGTAAACATCTACTTCATGCTTCAAAGGCTGCCAGAAGTGATGAAGATTGTTGGAAGAAGTAAACGACCCTCAGAGACCACCACCACATTTTTGTCCACATGCGGGAACGTTGTGGAAAATGATGTAATTCATACGTAGCCTCATGAATATGCATGTATGCCCAGTGAATATACAAGGACGGCTTGTGTAGCAGTATGGGGACACAGGCTATGTGAAGCTATCCCCCGTGTCTCCCAGTGCCACAATAAAGAATACCTGCTTGTCAACTTAAACTTTGTTGGCAAGTTTGTTCCTGGAGTTTTCTCTAAATCCCTCCCACCTCCCAAAGAAAAAGGAAACAGAGAGGAACAAGTAGCAAATTTAGGTGATTGAACAAAGGCTTTAAAGGTTCTTTAGAACTGCAGGCATCAGCGCTCCCCCAGGATATGCCAGCTTTGTCTGCTAATAGCAGACCCTGGGAATGAACATCCAAATTGCAGGTCACAACCTGAAATTCCCCAAGTACCTCCAGAATGTCTGCACTGAAATGACTCAAACTCAATAAGAAAGGATGTCAGATGTGACCTCTGATGGCCCACTGGAATCCGGAGCAAACAGTTGGATTTAAATCCGATCAATCTTGCCAGTAAGGTGATTGAACACCCCTTACAGCAAGGATTGTCCTAAGCATATGGACTTGGGCAAGTAATTGATCTCTTCAGTACTCTAGAAAACAGATGTCCTGCAGGCAGCTGTGGAAATGAGTTAGAAACTTGAGGAGGAATGTGGCTGTCAATAAAAAGTCCAGATGAAGACTTGTTCATAGTTGTACCATTACTGTGATGTCTAAATACCCCTGAAATTCAAAATGTATATTGCCAAAACGGTAGTGTGACAAAGAGCTGATACTATCATCAGTTTCCAGGTGAGAGACTACAAGAAGGACTGACTGCCTGATCATGAGGCACATAGCGTCACAAGAATTTGAGGAGAGGTCTGTCAGATCTGAGGTTATTACCAGCTGTATGTCCTCCCAGTACCGGATGTGCTGAAATAGACCCATGTGCAATAGCTTTAAACCAGAGGTCTCCAGAGTATGATCCATGAATCACTTGGGTTCTGCAAGTCTCAGTATGTGGTCTGCAAAGTGCCCTGGTTTTTACCTCTGTGGAGCTTAAAGGTGCGGTATTACAGAGGATCTTTGCTATGCAGCTAAATCCTGTGTTGTACCTGGCATGGGGCCCTCCTTGAGCAAACATTTTGAGAGACTCTGCTTTAATCTGTAAGAGGAAAGTTCTGTAGTGCTTGTCATTAAAGAGACTGGACATTTTTTAGAGTTCTTTGCTCTTCAAAAAAAAGCCTGTCAAAAGGTATCTAGATTCCACCTTATCCTGGAGATGGTAGTCCTTGTTCTCACTAGCCCACGGAGCATGTGCAAAGTACCTGCAGTTGCCAAACACTTTATGCCCCATCACATACTTTAAAGGAGGTTTGTCAACTAGAATTTTCTCCCCTGTACCAAAGTCAAATGCAAAACGATAAAATGAACATGTGGGAAGCTCTTAACCTTTCCTGTCTAGCCATGACACACTTGCTCACATTATTTATGGGACAGTTCTAGCTATTTTGTATTAATCAATCACTCTATTACAATGTCAAAACTATGTCAGCAGGAACTGTGTTACTTCTTGGCTCCAAGGTAAAGAGTCCTTTCTGTCCTATGTTGCTTATTCCACTTTCACCCACACACAAGACTTATCTGCTAATTTTACCTCTCCTGACAAGACTGTATACTCTTCTGTGGATGCCAGGTTTAGTACAAGTCAATAGTACTCTTTCATCATGAATAAAGCGAAATGCATGCGAGGCTAAATTAGGGGGAACAGGGCAAGCATATCAGGAAGAGCTTATTCTATTCTGCTGCGTGCTGGTGAAACCACAAATGGATCCAGGTTTGGATTTCTGGTCAAAGAGAGATGCTAAGAAACTGAAGAAGGGGTTCAGGGGGGCTTCAAGATGGTCACGGTCTGGAGCCCATGACTATGCGGAGAGGTTGAGGGAGCTGGCCTTGTTCAGTCTGGCAGAGAGGAGGTGAGGTGGGGAGCTAAGAGTCACCTACAGCTGCCTGAAAGAAAGTTACAAAGGCAACAGAGCCAAACTCTACAGTGGCATTCAGTATAAGGAGCTAATGGCCACATACTGTGTCTTTGCAGGCTCAGGTAGCAATTTCACCCATCCCCAGAGAGGCTCTAGAATCTCGTGCTCGAGGGATTTGAAAGACACAGCTGGGCAAAGCCATGGCTTACCTGATCCATTGCTGGCTTTGAGATACTGGACTAGAGACCTCCAGGTGTCCTTTCCAACCAAGGCTTCTTTCTGTCTTCTCTCTTGTCTGTCAAAGTTATTGCACATCAGAATAGTTTATTCTTTCTTTTTCCCCGTTTTGTTTTTTTTTTTCCGTAACTCTTTTAGTCTCACTACACCATTCTACTCAATCTCCTCAGTCTCCAAAATGCTGCTCTTAAGTTCTGCTGTTGAATGTGGCAGTAGGAAGTACATTTAGCCACCTCATCTTTCCTATAGTCACACTTCTTCAGACTTACTCCTTATCCTCAAAAGGGGGTTACACTTCTCTGGTACAGCTTCTCAATGACATATCCTTCTGCTCTCACCTGTTACCTTCTGTCTTCACCCCTTGAGTCTTAGGTTTCCCCCTTTTCCTTCCTTGCGACTTTCTAGAGTACCAGTTAGGATATATTGTTTTATATTGATGGTAGTCTGAATACAGCATTCCTCTGAGCCCTAGCATCACTTCCTATTTTCAAGTTCTTAAATTTGAAAGCACTGATAGAATATAAGCATGCCTGTCTGTAGAGCTTGTGCACAACGCTTGCAGATTTCATTGCAAGTGAGATCTCGAGTCTCCAAATCTGAGGTTCTCACAGATCTTGGTTCCAGGTGGCTTCAATACCTTTGTGTCCTCAGCTTTTCCATTTTTTTGGATTTCTGTAGATAAGCTTCAACACACTGGGTTTAGAGCTAAGTTATAGGCTCATACAAAAATCAGATGTCAATGTGAGGTATGAATAAGTCTCAGTTATGGTAGCAAGAAATGCTGTAGCAATTACTACTGTAAACTCAGGATTGCAGCATCCACCTTGAAGTTTCTTTATTAATATTTAAAACAATTAAAAAAGGGGCCCTGCTATTGCTGGCTGGTACCAGACCTGCCAGCTTAAAAGATGCAGTTGACAGCAAAACCTCCTTCCCCCTTTGTCTTTCCAAGACAGGTAAATGCACTGTACAGCTGTTGATGTGGGTCTTTGGGGTGAGACTTCAGCATGAAGCCATGGTTATAAAATCACAGTCTTTGTGTCTCTAAATGACTTAGTCCAGAGCTTCGGTCTTTCCCTGCCTTTGCTAATGGGAATATTTGTCCCAGAGCAGTTTTAAGGTGTTTTTGTATTGTTTCAGGCATAGGGTTTGTTGCTGCCCTAGCTTCTGTTTCTGCGCCCAGTTTCACCACAGGCAGTGTAAGCAGTGCTGAGCCTTTTTTAAACTCTCACTGTAAATTACCAAAATCCAACTCCTTGCATGCATCTTCTTTTTACTTGTTTTACTTGTGTCATAATCATGATTTGTAAAAGTCATTTTAGTGAATGTTTAAACACAGTGAAACTGTCTGTTTTGTTGAGATTGTTAGTTCCCTGAGACAGAAATGGTGTTCTTTTCCTGTATAGCACCGAATAGAAGGTCTATGCTTAGCGACTGATAATGGTATAATTAATACTGCAATAATGCTTTTTCTCTCTTTCTGCAGCCCCAGGCTGTCCAAACTTCCTGGTTGGGTTTTGAAAGATGGAAGCACATTTCTGGACAAGGTACTATAGTGATGGTTAGAATTTTCTTGCATGCAAAAAGCTCCCTGACAGGTTAGGAGCTTGCACTGCATGAGCAATACTTCCATGCTGACTCATCGCAAAGGTTTCTATGTGTACCTTTATCAGCCACGATGTCCTTGTAGAGCAGAACATTTTGAAACAAAATGCTAATGCTAATAGCAACATGGAGGCTTTCAGTCTTCAGAGGTAGCCTAGCTTTATAAAAAATCCTCTTAAAATTCAGAAATCATCAGTATGAATATTTTCTTATTTCATGGAGCTCCATAAATAATAGTGCTTTGCCTTCTTAGAGTGCCTTTTATTCAACAGTCTCACTTTTCTGACACTAAAGCTTCATAGCATGCTTATAAATGAGGTTGGTATCATACCCTTTTTTAGGCAGGAGAACTGTGAGAAAGTGAATGGTTTTCCCCTCATGGGAGGTCTCTTACAGAGGAAAAGCATGTCTTTGGCCTCTGAAATCAACACGTGTTCTGCTGCTGGACATAGCAGGGAGGATATTATTTCCAGCCCCCTAATTGTAAGACACAGGACTTACCCAGCTACATGAGAGACACAGATTTTTTTTTTACTTTTCCCCTCTTTTCATTACATTAGTTTTGCAGGCAGAATTTAGCTGGGGCTTCAACCAAAACTAAGCACTGCAGTGTCCAGCTTGATCTGCCACAGGGGAACAATGAACACAAAAATATGTCAGATGTTGGTAAAATAGGCAGATACATTTCAAATGTGTGCAGCAATAGGTATCAGTAGAATAAATACAGTTTTAATAGACTGTTCTCTGACTATGTGAACATTAAAGGAAAACAGTAATAATAGTTGCTTTTGTAGGGGACTTTGAGGTGGACAAAACGGATTGATCTGATTTTTACAGACAAGGGGAAGATCATAGATTAAAGACCTGATTTTTCTTCTTATTGGAGACAAAAGAAACTGTACAGGCAGCATTTCTGTTAGTAAAATAGTAACAGCTCTATTCAGAGCACATGCTAACTGGCAGTCACACAGCTACAGAGGCTCAGAGAAGGAATGGAATTGCTCAGCTTGAATTCCCTGGAATTTGTTTCTCCTGAACCCCAGCTTTAGTCTCAGAGCTTTGGGCTCCCTTTTGTCCAGCAAATGGGTAGGCTGTCAGTATATTTCTATATGTGATGTATTTACATTTCTGTGGTGCTGCTGCAGTGTGTGCTTGGGAGAAATCTTCAAACTCGCTCAGCATCAGTGGAAACTGTGTTAAAAATTTAAAGGCAGCATCTCTTACCTTCACCTTGACCATTGTAACTGCTTGGAGTGGTAAATTCTTTGACCCATGCTGGAAAAAGGCAAGAGAAGGAGTCAAAGGGGGGTGTTTTATCATGTCGTGTGGACATTCCTGTTACAGCACTCTCTGGATGACAGTTATAAAACTTAAGTCCTGGAGAGGCATTGAAATTTGCTGTGATCTAGTTTTAATCATTTTAAACACCCTTGAGATGAGGTTAGGAGACTTCTGCCACTAGATGTAATTGCTCATTCGTTATTAGTTGGCAGGTGCACTGTAATTATTAAGAATTGGATTCAATCTTTAATTCTGTCAGTCTGAAGCTGGCTGAGACCACTCGCTTTGGGACAAGAAGAGAAGCATCCACAAGAGAAGGCAGAGCAGGTGATAGGTAGCCTGTGAGGTGTGTTAAGGCTAAAGTTGGGAATGGTTTTGTTCCATACATTATCCTGAAGAATGTGACTTTTCATGTGACAAAGATTTCTGATGTCAGCCTTGAAAAAGAAGGAAGAAAATAGAGGACTAAAGATCCAGTTGAGATAAGTCTAACAAAAAGTGCCACGTGGAGCTTAGATCCACGGAAGATGTTTCATCAAATGTTCTGACAGAGGGGCTAAAAATTGTATTCTGCTCCTAATAAGACAGAAAAGGTTTGATGTTATTGGGAACCAAAGCTAAATTCCAAACTTGTAAGACAGGCAGGGCAGTGTAAAGGTGCTGTGCACACCTGTACAAGAGCAGCAGTTCCGAGAAGAGTGGTCTTCATGACCCACTTTTCAGTTCGTACTTTGCTTCTGGTCGACAAAGTTGGTTTGCATTGTTACACATTTCACAGCCAGTACATCTGCAGTTGGAAGAGCAGAGAAAATGCAGTTTCACAGGACAGCACCTCCTCCATGGTCATGGCAAAACCAGACAGAAAGAGCCACGATATCTTTCCTTACCTACCAGAGTGCTGTCTGTTCCTCCAAATGAAGATCTGATCCCTTGAAGTCTTCTTACAGTAAATTTTATCTAGAAAAGGGATAAACATTATGTAGGAGTGGGCTGGAAATTACCTGGGATAAAGAAAAGGTTTTGAAAGGGCAAAATCTGCTGCACTGGAGTAACATTACATTGTAATTTTGTGTCTTTTCTGTTGATATACTTTTCTTACAGGAACTAAAGGAGTGCTCTGGCCATGTGTTTGTAGACTCCGTGCCAGAGTTCTGTTTACCAGAGGTGAGTTTGTTCAAAGTCATGCTGAAAAATCTGATTCCATTCTATCATGTGGGAGAAACTTGCTGAATTATTAAATTTATCAGCACTCGGTAAATAATGCTACTAAACCCTCTGTGTTGTTAATGTGCCTCTAGTATCTATGACGCTGGGAAAAGGGTGGAAACAGGCCTTTTCAGCAATGGTTTGGGGCAAACTGGAAGGTCTACTTGAGCAGATCAGTATCTCAAGACTTCACTGTCTATGTGCCTTCCAAAGACAATATGACTGAGCTGGACTTGAGTATGACAGGATACATGTGCTGATCTAGATAAGAGCAGTGAATGAAGACAAGGAAAACTACTTGTCTCTAACCACAGATGCATGACCTGCCTAGCAGAGCTCCCCTGGGGAGCCGACTGTGTGGCTAAGCCACTGTTTGATTCTGCTGCACTGCACTCAGATATGCTGTTCTGCTGGCAGCAAATTGAGGTTAAAAAGTTTTGCTGCCTTCTCAGCTTTTCATCACCGCCTCTTTGAGAGAAGGGCTTTACCTCCATATTCACTGACATAACTGCAAGTGGCTGCTTCCCAGGCTGTTGTTTTTTTTCCAAGAATACCTGGGTTAAAATGAAAAAAAAAAAACAACACCAAAAAAAACAAAAAAAAGGAAAGACTATTGAAAATGTTAAATTAACTGTGATTACCTGACTGATCAATTAACTGTGTATACAGGGGAGCTGGAGAAGTTAAAAGCTGAGCAAAGAGTGGTAAATGATGGGGAGTAGTCTGGGAATAATATCCTCTTTCCTCAGATGTGTTCGGACTGTGATAACATCAGTTCTCTCATTTCATATTGGGATGTTTTCTCTGTCTTTCAAAGACAGAGACAATTGCTTTTGGGCAGCGATTTTTATTTGTCCTTTCTGCCTGACCTTGTTGACAGGAAGTACAAAACACTCCTGGAGGGTTGTTGTCAGCTTTGCTGGGGTGCTGGCAATAGCATTTCTGCCTTTTCATTCCTTTCAACTCACCTCTTGCTGCTTCTGATTCTTGTTCTCTTGGTCCTTCTAAGCAAGTTGGCAGCTCTGGCACTGGTTTTGGCAAGTGGTTTCAACAGATCTGTGTCTAATTGCTCATTCTCCCCAACTGGAATAGATATAATTGAATCCCACAGAAAAAAAAAACCAAAAAACAAAAACAACAACAAAAAAAAAAAAAACAACAAACAAGCAAACAAAAAAAAACCCTTAATAATTTGAGGTTCTTGTGAGCATTCTGGTTACTGTCCTGTGCAAGGGAGGAGTGTAGGAAGCATCTTTGTACCTAGAAATTATGGCCCGGATCTTCAGAAGGAGGGAGTTTATGCTCTGGATTCCCTTTGGCCGTATACAGTCATGATAATCTGCTGGGGTTTAAGGTGCTTCAGTTGGGCTTTCTGGTTACTTTGTTGGGCTGGAAAATACTCATGTGTAGCTTTAAATATGATTGATGGGGAGTTGTTGCTTCCTTGTATCAGTGTTATCACCGAATGTAGCTCTCTTGCAACTAGGAGATCCAAACTAGCTGCATGTCACTATTGTAGTGCCTTTACAAATGGCCTCTCAAATGCTTGTTCCCAAAGTTCCTAGGAGGTGCCAGATCTTCTCCACAAGCCCTAGAAACAGATCTGCTAGTTGTACACAGCTCTCATCTCTAGCTGCATAGGCTCCCCTGTCTGGGGGTGGGTTCAGATGTCATGGCCAGCAGAATGCATCAGCAGAGTAAAAATGTTGCTGGTGTTTGGCAGAACAGTCTAAGAAGGAGCTTGTGTGAAAGAGCCTTTGTCTTTTTCTTTGTCTCCTTCCATGCCACTTCTTTTGAAGAAACTTGTATGCAAAAGCAGTTAGTTTGAGAATCACAGTATCACTTCCAGGAACACTACTGCCAAAGAAAGCCAAGTTTTGAATGTAATCCAGAAGCCACAAGGTGATAAGAGGCTGTCTCAGCAGCAGAGTACACTTCCACATGTCAGAGTGCAGGGTGCAGCCCTGTCTTTGCTTGGCAACCCCCTGGTCTCTCTGACTTCATGTTCAAGAAATGTTTCAGTCCTCTTCTGTTCATAGGCACTTTTAGTGAGATTGCCACAAGTCCCAGGGAAGATTTTACTTTGCTTTGGTTTTGACACTTTTTTCATCCTCTTAGTAAGTGCTTCTAGCATGCTGTGATGTGAGATGCTTAAGCTTGTAAAGTGGTAGTCTGTATCCTCCTGGTGGCTTGCTAAGGGCTGAGTGACTATCCACTTCATAGAATCATAGAAAGGTTTTAATTGGAAGAAACATTAAAGTTCATCCAGTTCCATCCCCCTGCCACAGGCAGGGACACATTCCAGTAGACCCCAGGTTGCTCCAAGCCCCGTCCAACCTGGCCTTTTAACACTGCCAGGGATGGGGTAGCCACAGCTTCTCTGGGCAACCTGTGCCAGGGCCTCACAACCCTCACAGGGAAGAATTTATTCCCAAGGTTCATCTCAATCTCCCCTGTGTCGGTTTAAAGCCATTCCCTGTCCCTACATACCCTTCAAAAAGTTCCTCTCCAGCTTTTTTGTCAGCCCCTTTAGGCACTGGAAGCTGCTCTAAGGTCTCCCAGGGGCTTCTCTTCTCCAGGCTGAACAAGCCCAGCTCTCTCAGCCTGTCTCCAGAACAGAGGTGCTCTAGTCCTCAGAGCATCTCTGTGGCCTTCTCTGGACTCGCTCCAACAGCTCCACAATCTTACGCTGGTGGCCCCAGTGCTGGATGGAGGACCAGGACTGCAAGGGGATCTCACGAGAGCAGAGTAGAGGGGCAGAATCCCCTTCCTCAGCCTGCTGGTCATACTGCTGGTGATGCAGCCCAAGGCGCGGTTGGCTTTCTGGGCTGGGAGTGCATACTGCTGGGCCATTTGATTATGGTCTGGATGCAACTGAGAAGCAAGGCATGAAGAGCCACCTTGGTAGGAGCAGGCATCAGCAGACTGATACCACCTAGAGAGTATTTCTGCCTGACAAGCTTAGTAAGATAAAAGGGTGCCTTATCACAAATCTGGGGATGGTGTTTCACCTACTGCACTCAGCTTGGAGATCATGCCTCCAATATTAGCTGTGATCATGGATTGAAATCATGAACGCTTAGCTATGAGTTAAGCAGCTTGTTACCAGAGCACCATGTCAGCCCTCTGAAAAGCTGAGTGACCTACTTTCTTGCCTTTTTCATTCAAATTGCTGGACCAAGCCTTGTAATCAGATAATATGTGCTTGATGAGTGTTGAATTCCATTAGCTGCTCTATAATAACTGAGTTAGAGGTCATATATCTTGTAAATTTCTGACTCGACACCATTTGTGTTATAGCATTACCAGTAAATATTTCTAATTAAAATTCTTCTAACAATGTTTGAAATCTTTCCTTCTCTGAACTACTGTCTAAGGTGCCATATCAAAACAAGTTGGACCCACCCATCTGTTTTGTTGCATCCTATGAATGAGCTTAATCTTGTGTTGTAGAAAACATGAATGATAAAGGTGGCAAGCATTTAGTTTGGGAAAATATGAGAATTATTTTAAGCATAAGAATAAATACAGTCTACATTAATCTCTCTCACTCTCCTGTGCTACAGTACTATATGGCACAGAAAAAAATACAAGACACCATGCTAAATCACTAACTGTGGAAGTTTTGGTGTCTACCCAGTGTTCCTAAGTGCACACAACAGTTCTTTGATAAAAGAGCTTCTTTTAACAGCAGCCATTTCATTACATGAAAAACAGACAAACCCAGGACACGGTTTCCATTTTAGATTTTAGAAGAATAATTTTAGAGGGCTTTTTAAATAAATATTGTGAATTTTAAGAAAATGTTATTTCTTTGCCACAGCTGGCACATGCCCCTTCCTGTTTTTTTAAACTGATTATAAACTGGTTATATTCATGCAATATAAAGTTTAAAGAAAAAAAGAACAGGGAGTTTTTCTGCCTTTGCTTAAGCTGCATGAAAGGGTTACATATTGCTTATCTCTTCTCTGTTTTCAGACTGAGCTGCTTGACCTCTCCACGGTAGATGTAATCTTGATCTCAAACTATCACTGCATGATGGCATTGCCCTATATCACAGAATACACAGGATTCACTGGAACAGTTTATGCCACTGAGCCCACTGTTCAAATTGGCAGGTAAAAAGCCCCTTAATATTCTCTTACTCCTCTTTCATCACTGCTAAGCAAAAGGTGTAAAGGACAATCTGGGTAGAGCAGTAGTGTCTAATGTTCCGAAGAGGCTCTTAGGCAGGAGCTGAACACCAGCCAAGTCCTTAGTGCTGCAAATGTGTTAACTCCATGTTTTCCAACCTCTGGAACCATAAGTCTTCAACATTTACAGCAGGTGCTTTATGTAGGCAGTAGATGTGGGATGGTAGATCTTGAGTGGACTGAGACACCTTGGGCAGCCATTACCATAAAGCCAACTTCAAACCTTCTAAAACCATGAATCAAAGATCTCTCCAGCTCCTTTCTGCTCCCTTAAACAAAAGAGGACTCACCAGTCTTTTCAACAGTAAACTACTTTGATTATTGCCTTGTTGGTTTTCAGTGTTTGAAATCTATATTATCACACTTTCCTTCACACCACAGAAGGGATTTAAGCTGTCTTCATCTCAAATGACAGTTGAGATACATAAGCTCTGAACTCCAAAGAGGAACTCCGAAGAGAGAAAACCAGCAGAAATATGAGACTGAAGTAGAAAATATAAAACCTGACAATGCAGTCAAAAACTTAATACTTGGTCATCAAATTTCGTAGTCTTTTTTTACAAGTTGTCTGTTGACTGGATGTACCAAAGGCTGCAGGTTTGGCCCTCGATGAAGTCTCACTGGAGTTGTGCTGTGTGCATCCCAGAACCACGCAGCCGCTCGCTCACTCCCTCCGTCCTTCCTCCCCCAGCTCCTGAAGGGATGGGGAGGAGAATCGAAAGAATGTAACTCCCATGAATTGAGATAAGAGCAGTCCAGTAACTAAGGTATAACACAAACCACTGCTGCTACCACCAATAATAATAATGATAAGGGAAATAACAAGAGAAGAGAATACAACTGCTCACCACCCGCTGATCAATACCCAGCCCGACCCAAGCAGTGGTACCTTCTGGGTAGCTGCCCCCCGTTTATATAGTGGGCATGACGTGCTGTGGTATGCAATACCCCTTTGGCTAGTACGGGTCAGGTGTCCTGTCTCTGCTTCCTCCTGGCTTCCCCCCCTCCCTGGCAGAGCATGAGACTTAGAAAGTCCTTGGTCAGAGTAAACATTACTGAGCAGCAACTAAAAACATTGGTGTTATCAGCATTGTTCCCAGGCTGAAAGTCAAAAACACAGCACTGCACCAGGTACTAAGGAGAAAAATGACTGCTACTGCTGAACCCAGGACAAATAATTAGAGACCAGATTAGACCATGGTAACGGGACTCTGTTAGCACTTCAGGGCAGGAATCTTTGTCTGTTAAAGGTCCTGTGCAAACTTCCCATGGCAGAGTAATTCTCCCATTGTGTAAAAGCAAACAGAAACTGAAGGCCCTTGTAGGTGAAAGGAATTGTATAAATATGAACTAGTAGTAGACCTCTGGGGCATAACAAGGTAACAAGCATAGTCTTGTTGGAGAATATGTTGGTGTGGTTCTCCCCACCCCAAGTAATTCCAGGTGCTATTCTTCTGCAGTTATATTTGACTTCTGCCTTCAAGGGAAAACATTCATGCAATTACAAATGCTGTTCAGTTTTGGGCCGTGAAATCTGCAATGACAATTTTTAATGCCTGACATTTTTCTGTCTTGAATGCTGTATTGTGCATTTTTAGATGAGGAGAGTTCACTCTGACAATGTTCTTGACTTCTCTAAGTGATAAACAAGCATTGGCTAATGAGTTTTCTTTGTATATTTTGTCTCATTCCATGTGACAAGCAGTCAGTAACAAAGAAATCATCTTGCACAGCAGAAGAGAGATTTGGGAGTTCCTCTTGTCTTTCCATTTTCCAAATAACCCATAACCAAGTGGGCCAGATCCACTGATGTTGCAACCAGCAGATAGAAATAAACTAGCTCAAATTTGAAATACTCAGTGAAGGAACAGGGGTAGGATGCCTCTGGGAAGAATCCCTCTTTAAAACTGCCTAATAGTGTTACAATTTTTGTAGTATTTTGGAAACATTTGGGACAAAGTTCTCTCCTGTGTGAAAGGCTGAAACACTAACTTAGTTAGGATGGATGTCTTTTCAGACTTCTCATGGAAGAACTGGTGAATTCCATTGAACGCGTGCCAAAAGCTCAGTCTGCCTCCATGTGGAAGAACAAGGAGGTACAAAGGTAAGGAACAAGCCACCAGGAAAGGGTGACTGTCCTAAAACACTGACCAAAGTCTAGAATTCATTGTAATAATGAATCAGCTGCCACCATTTGAGATTTGCTACTACCACTGAGCAGAAAAAAAAAAAAGCCTAACAGGTTTACAGCTATGACTCCTTGGACCAGTTCTTTCTTTCATCAACCATTGTTGGTCATTCAAACAACCATGCAAGTTTGAACCTTGGAGGAAGACTTGGTAACGCAAAAGTCTTCCCTGATCTCCGCTCACATAGTTTGGCTTCATGATGGTAGACAAACCCAGCAAATTTTTGTATTAACTTGTAAGAAGTTGTTGAAATCAGCAAGCAACTTAAACCTATTTATAATGTGTTGGAGTAATTTTAATTTACAATATTTACATTAATGTTTGCTGAAATGGTAAGAAAGTCAAGCTACAGCTGTTGAAGGTCCCTGGTGGCCAACAACAGAGCAGTGCTATCTTTCCTCCCAGGACTTAGTGTCTTTTACACATGAAGAGCAGAGGTGTGAGGGTTAGTTTTTGGCTTTTCAAAACTTAGAAGCAGATTGAAATCTGCACAAAAAAAAAGGTTAGTTGCAAGCTCTTTGTCCATTATTCCATCTAAACATAAAAACAAGGTGCTCAAAATTGAGGTCTTCCATATCTAGAATTTTGAAAGCCTATGTAATCTGAAAATTATCCATACAGGTTACTAATTGCAGATAATGCTTTCCTTGGAAATAAAACAGATCTAGGTGCACAACATGTTCTATGGAGGAGACAGTTTCATATTTAGCACATTTTAAAGATAGGGACTGTTGATTAGAAAGTTATTTTTAAAAGCTGCTTTGTGCATTTTTAATTGATCTCCCAGTTTTCTACTCCTAATTCTTAATGTTGCTTGATTTAAAGCTTTACTAAAAATGAATTATTTCATGCACTATAGAAGTAGTCCTCATATTTTCCAATATCACAAAGCAAAGGAATGAAAAACTCAACATATCTTTAGCTATGCATTGTACTGCCCTGCTGAGCTTGGGAGCAGTCTTAGCACTGTAACTCTTCTGAAGAAGGCAAATGAAACACACACATAAACCAAAACCAAAGGCAGTAAAGTTGATCAGGATTTTATGCTGGTTGATGTATACTCTGGTCAGAATTTTGTTGTTTTTTAAATTTTGGGTCAGCTAGCCTGCCCAGAACCACTCCTGAAGTTCATAGTGTTGTGAAGAGGGAGGATTAGAGCCGTTATTCTCATCACACTACTGCATGTGTTTAGTATGCATGGTTTAAAGGAGGATCGTATATCTTGGAGCTCATTTAATGTCACTTTCCTGGTGGTCGTATTTTAGAAAAAGTGCTGTTTAGCACTTTGTGTGCTGTTGACTATTCCAGGGGCGAGCACAGAGAACTAATCTTTGTTCTGATTTATCTGCTAGAGAAGGCTGAAATCTTTCTGTTGGAGCAGTATTTAAAATACTTTTCCCTGTCTCATGTTGCTTGGGAAGTACTCTTAACATCAATAATGCTTCCTTGGTACTCTTAAGGAGCTGTTGTAACAGAGTACCAGATGGGGTAGGAGGATGGTATAAGAGCCTACCACCCCAGCGTAGACAGCATCCTGTCCCACCTACAAGAACATTGTCCACATCCCACTGCCACACATGCACACTGACATGTTCTGCTGCCATAGTATGGTATGTTGGGAACTTCGATTGGATGGCAGGTCCCTCAGCTTCCATGAAATGCACGTTGCTCAGATATGAGACAGAGGCAGAGCAATGAAATGCTGCGCTCGTTGGGATAGTCAGACATAGTACTGCAGCTCTTCAGTAATGTAAGTCTGTGTATTAAAAACTCTGCCTTTAGGCTGGTACGAACCAGTGCATTCTGTGAGCTGGAACAAGGGGATGAATCTGAACTCTTTTTCCAACTGTACCCCACCTGTGCTCTGATTTTCCCCCTTCAGCTTCCTATGCTACTATAAAATGGAGCTCCTATCCACCATAGAGGGTATACAGGGACTTAATTAATGTTTGCAAAGTGTTTTGAGATTCATGGTGACAAGTGCCATGCAAGCGTAAATGAAACTGATTATTATAGCATGTGAGCAAACATCTACTGATCCACAAATTAACACCTGGCTAATAGCACATGCAGGGTTGGACTGACATCCGTTATTTAAGAAAATGTGATCCTTGATGAATTTTTTTTTAATAGTTGGCAGTTGCTAGAACAGAATACATATCACTTCTGAGTCTAACTTCGATTTTCCAGGCTGATTTTCCAGCTGATTCTACTCTAAATAGTTAGTATAAAGCACAAAGTATTATCATCTTCATTAAATGAAGTATTGAAGCATTTTAAATGCAAATACTATATAAATATAAAAGTTCATTATAGTGGTTTACATTTTTTCGTTATCAGATCCTGTCTGAACTAATTGCTTAGCTGGTTTTATTACCATTGGTTTTTAGTTTAAATGAGCAGTCTCGTGGAAGCTCCGTAGTTGCTCACCCAGGATATCTTTCACACAGATTAGGATTCAGGAGGCTAAAAAAGAAATTTGCCCTATGAAAGATGCTTTGTTGACTACCTATTTGATGGTTTCTTCTGTCTTGCTATCAAAGTGTCTGAAATAGGCTACTGCCTGAGACAGGACAAGAGAGGCCAGTATTCTGATCTGATTTGGTACTGCCATCCTCCTCTCCCTTCAAACAAGAACATGTTATGTTATACACTATATGTTATTTGCCTTGAACAGGAGGGACTGTCTGTGTGCAGATGCTCTGTTAAGAATACCAGCCCTGTGTTTCTTAAGCATAAATTTTATATACTAACCACAGGACCATGCTGCTTTGTGATACCTTCCTGTTTGTGGCTGAAGGCTGGCTGTCCTGGTATCTGCCCATGTACATCTGGTTGTTATGAGGTGATCCGTAATGGGATGTTGCCATAGTGTTAATAGATTGACTCCAGACTTTAAAATATCTTCCTGTACAAGTTTTAAAATGGCGGGTGGCAGGTTTAAATGCCAGCAGGCCCACATCTGAGGAATCAGCAGTCCTCATTATCTCAGTGTGCCATCTGACAAACAATTAAACCACTGGAGAATTGTCCCATTGGTCTCTGTTGGGGATCAGAGTATATTTACCGTGTAGCCACAGAGTGAAGACTAATAGAAACTTACTCCAATCACCAAGGACAATTCCCCACTCTTCTCCATTACCTGTAGATATATTCTCCTCTTCCCAGAAGAGAAGCTCCTGAAAGCATCCAACACTAAATGCTTCTTATGGTAGGTTAAAGGCTTTTACAGGCAATTTGCTTCAGTGCAGTGGTGGACAACTATCCATGTTGTTTGGCTTTTTTGTTGCTTACGACTTCCCAAAAAAGATCTTGAAGACTTTGTTTGTTTCCTTCAGCGCAGTATGCTTTCAGCCTGCATGTGCTGGAATTACAGTTCTCGCACTAGACCTGTGCATTGGTCTTGGCAATAGCTGGCCTTAATCCTTTCTTCAGTGTCTTAAATTATGAAAGAGTTCACTGACCTAGTAGATATAACAATAAATTAAATTCCTTTAAACAAATTGATCAAAGAAACTTGACTAATTTCCATAAATCTTTGGAAATTGGTTTGAATTAGCCTTTGATTTAGCATTGGTTTAATATACAAAAAATTCTGCTATTCTTCTTATGCATTTGGCAGCTGTGCTGCTTCCTGCCTCAGTTCATGTTGCTAAGGAAGATTTATTTCCCAGAAGTTAGCTATCGCTCTTACAGCCTGTGACATTATAGTTCACTTCTTCCCTTGACGATACTGCCCAGCTAACTTGCAATGTCTGTGCAGAGCAGAATGGATGGATTTTGCTTTGGTGTAAAACATCTTAAATACTTCCGTGTAGGAGATTTCGAAGAGCTCTGCAGTGTCAGCTAGTATATCCTTGCCAGTATCCTGGGAAGCTAAGTGGGGTACTGAAGTCAAGGAAGCTGAGGTGTAGGGGCACATCTCTTCTAAGAGACTGGTTACAGAAATAAGAGCAGAGCCAGCCTTTGTTCATGGTCTGGTACCTGTACTTTAATCACGAGATTGTGGCTTACTTTTATTTTCAAATTCTTAGGAATATACATATCCTTAAGATATGCAGAACAGACCCTGATTCCAGATCCCAGTCATCTCTATCAATTCTGGTGGTGCATTTCATGTTGACATTTCAGCTCAGCCAGCATCTTGTGTGAAAATACCACAAGAGTTGCTGTAACACCTTCATCACAGCTACGTCTGTGATGGAAGACCTGAGTTGGAACACCTACAAAGAGAGCTGGAGGAGAGCAGTCTTTGGGGTGAGGCAAAAATGGGCAGTGTGGTTGTGCTCCTCAACAGGCAGAAAGTTATGCACCTCACTTGGAAGCACCAGTTGTATTTAAAATAAAAAGATGAAAAGAAGAGAAAAATTGAAGATCTGGAGCATGTAAATGGGTATAGAAACTGGTGGTTCATCAGGCAGTCCTGAAAATGCTCACACCCTGTTGATTTTTGCAGATTGCTGCCTGTCCCTCTGAAGGATGCAGTGGAGGTGTCTATGTGGAGGAAGTGCTACACCATGCCAGAAGTGAATGCTGCACTCAGCAAGATCCAGCTCGTGGGGTATTCTCAGAAGATTGTGAGTACCTGTAAAGCTGTTGGCAGGTCAGCAGTAACAGCTTGTTTTCCAGCTTTTCTCTGGAAATGTTCTTCCTTTTGTTTTTCCTCTAGATCTTGTGTAATATCCTGTGTAGACCCTAGCCTAGGAAAGCAAGATAAGATTATATTGAATGTCCTTCAGTCTGCCTCCCAGGAAGGGTTCTTGTTGGGTGAAATCAGGGAGTATCTGTTTGTTTCTTCTCTTCCCCAAGAGGACCAATTTTAAGGCAGTGTACCTTCAGATTTGGAATTGATGGCTGGCCCACTGAGAGCTGGGAGGATGTACCAAACAAATGTATCCTCTTTGTCTGTAAGCCACATCCCCTTCTGAGTTAGCATGTATCTCACTTCTGGGAATCTTTTGAGTGCTTTAGCCTCCACTTTCTTTTATACTGCAAATTAGGGATTGTAAACAAAACCTAATGGTTCAATCTGAACTTTAAGAAACCCCTTTCCCAGGGTTCCCAGCTAACATTTGCTGTCTGTAAGGCTATTGACTATAACCCAGTGAAGTTTCTAGAATGAGCAGAACGAACAGTTCAGTAGGTTCACTTATGGCTTGCAGGCAGCATGCGGGCCATGAGACCTGCTATTATGGCTCAGGACCGAAAAAATGAAAAGGTGGGTTAAAGTAAGTTATATACCCAAAGCCTTTTCTCTGCTCCCTTTTCTTAAGCAATGGGCCACTGAAGTTTGGAGACTGCTATTTATGCGTAAGACAGTTTGAAAAAGCAACCAGTGCTGCTGTGTACTAAATTTGGTGGATTTGGGTTTGTGTGGTGCTGCTGCACTAGAGCTGCTGAAAAAGATCCCCAGCCACCACTAACATGGCTGCTGACATAGATAACAGCTGCAGCTTTGTCTAGCAGCTGGACAGGTTGAGGGTGTTTAGATTCCTCATTATCCCTGTTACTGTTCATTTTGTAACTATCCTTACAGTGTGGATGCATCTCGCCTAATTTTAGATCTGTGCATCTGAGCCAATCATTCTTTTATAGTTACCGGGAAAAGAGACATATTTTATCTCTTCCCAAAGCTAGCTTTTAAAGTAATCAGATTCTCATTAGCCAGTTAACCCAAAACTGGGTGACAGCATCAGGAATAGTTTGCTGTCCATTTTCCATGTCTCCATATCAGCAGAACCCTAAAGCACTCCAAAAGATGGAGACCCTGTATTGTTTTGCAAGGCATCCAAATACATATTGAGATACTAGAAAAATTATTAGTATGGCATGAATCATATGCTTGTTCTATTATTCAGTAACCAGAAAGTAGATCACATTAGTGAGGTATATGTGGAGGCTTATTTTCGTTTCGCAGAACAAGTATAACACATTACTGCAATCCAATAATGACACCTGGAAAGGAGACAACTATCAGGTTGCTTATGCTTAGAGCTGAAACTGAAATTTGGATTGAGTTTGCAGGGTGTTGTTTCTAAATCACTAGTAAATAGTATTTAAAAAGAACATTTGAAAGTGAGTGAGTTTGAGGTTAAGTTTATGTTTTCTACAGCAAAATCTGTAACCCAGATAGAGTTTTATATCAGAACAGAACTACGTGTTCTTCCTTCTCTCCTGCAGGCCACTATCAGTAAAATTTGACTAAGGGAGTATAACATCTCCTACAGTCTTCTTCAATACAGCAAAGGCAGGCAGAGGATCAAGATCCCAGCTGATTCCTTCATTTAGAGTTATGTTTGAGTGTGAACTCAGTTATACACTGTAGAATTCACACAGAAGAGAGATTTTATGAAGGTACTACCTGAGGAAAAGCTTTTCTTAGAACATGTGTCCTGTTAGACATGGGTAAATAAAAACAGCAGACACGAAGCTCAGGAAACCAGCTTCATAAGGGCTTTGACTAGCAGAACTACTTTTAAAATTCATACCACTGATGGTAAAATGACTTCTTCTGATATCTCTCAGGGCTCATTCATGTTAGTGTCTCTTTCTGTGTGTTTCAGGAGCTGTTTGGTGCTGTACAAGTCACCCCTCTCAGCTCAGGCTATGCTCTTGGAAGTTCCAATTGGATTATCCAGTCGCACTATGAAAAGGTTTCCTATGTTTCAGGATCTTCTCTACTTACAACACACCCTCAGGTATAGTCCCTGACTTTTGTTAGTCTACAGTGGAAAGTGTTTTTTCTAAAAAATGAAAAATAGCAGGGCTTATTCCAGCTGGGATCAGGTGTGGTATAGAAACTGTACTGAGATAACTGGTAGCAACTGACTAGACTTAACAGGCACTGAGAAGACATACTACCCTGATAAGTGGACAGGTATCAATAGTTACTAGAGAAATAACTGAAATTCTTTGCTATGGATGATTTGATGTTAACTTACAAGATATGAAACTCGCCTTCACCTTAAATAGGAAATTTTCAACAGTTAAACAATAGAGCATTAGTGACTTTTTTTACAATCCATATTTCACTGAAGAGCCTTTACAGACAGTTCACAGACTGCTTCTATATCACTTCTGAAACATCCTTCCTTGGGAGAAATGATAGCTAACTGGCTGCCAACTTTTCCACCCTGCTCTGCTAAGGGCAAAGTCTTTATAGTGCTGTAGATGTAATTTCCAGTAAATTAATTCTCTCTAGGTCCATAAATTCTTAGTGCAAAGAATGGCTTGAAGTTTGCAGTACTGTGTGCTTCAGAAGTTGTCAAAATAGTTAAAAGCAATATTAGCAGGAGGTATTTAAAAATAATTTAGAAAATGTGTCAGGTTCATGATCAGTAAGTAATTTCCCCCAAGGTGAGTATCTCCTAAAGAGCTTTGCTTCTGAGCATCCTTCATTTAAAAGCTTGATCTCAGGAGCTGAACAACTGCAATAGATAAACCATCCTTAATAGTATGGCTGTGTGCAGCCATATGCATGCAGCATATCAGAGATTTTAAATCCCTTTTTCTCATCGGCCTCATAGTGGCCTTGTGCTTCTTTGTCACTTCTAGTGAAGGAGCAGCAGCAATATTTGGCAATATATGAATGGAATATTTGTGTGAGGAGAAACTTAGCACTGTAAGAAGTAATTTGATAACTGAGAGTATTTTCCCCTCACTGACATTCTAACATTGACTTCTGGAGAAGAGAAGGCTCCAGGAAGACATATGGGCAGCTTCCACTGCCTAAAGGAGCCGACAAGAAAGCTGGAAAGGAGGTTTTTGAAGGGCATTGTCATGGTTTAAACCCAGCCAGACAGCTTGTGCACTCACCCCCCCCCCTCCCCCGCCCCTTGCCCTCCCCCTACTCCCGGGGAGATGGAGAGGAGAATCGAAAAGAATGCAAATCCCACGGGTTGAGATAAGAACAGTTTAGTAACTAAGGTATAACAAATCACTACTGCTACCACCAATGATAATAATGATAAAGGAAATAACAAGGGAAAAGAATACAACATCTCACCACAAGCCAATTGATAACTTGACCCCCCAGCCCAACCAAGCACCGACTGATATCTTTTCCAACCCTGCTGTCCCTCGCCCTTCCAGGTAACTCCCAGTTGCATCCAGGGCATGACGTGCTGTGGTATGGAATACTTCTTTGGTCAGTTCGGGTCAGGTGTCCTGTCTCTGCTTCCTCCCAGCTTCCCCTCCTCCCTGGCAGAGCATGAGGCTCACAAAGTCCTTGGCCAAACCAAAACATCATTTTTGTCAGCTCTGTGCCCAGGCTGAAAGTAAAAACACAGCACTGCACCAGCTACCAAGAAGGAGAAAAATGACTGCTACTGCTGAACCCAGGACAGGCATGTAGTGACAGGGCAAGGGGGAATGGCTTTAAACTGACAGAGGGGAGATTTAGATGAGATCTTGGGAAGAAGTTCTTCCCTGTGAAGGTGATGAGGCCCTGGCACAGGTTGCCCAGAGAAGCTGTGGCTGCCCCATCTCTGGCAGCATTCAAGGCCATGATGGGTAGGGCTTGGAACAACCTGGGGTCTAGTGGAAGGTGTCCCTGCCCGTGGCAGGGGGTTAGAACTAGATGGTGTTTAAGGTCCTTCCAACTGAAACCATTCCATGATTCTATAATTCTATGACATGAAATGATGGTTCAGTTTATCAGGTTAGACTGGCCATGCTTCATCATTTTCCAAAGGTGAACATTTCTCTGGAAATTTCTGGTAAAATCCCTGTTTTTAAGGGAAATTGCTTCTCCATGGCAAGAAATGGTCTGTGAATGAACTGCCTTGTGTAAGTGAGCAGCAGACCTGCACTCACTTACTGCAACCTGCAGAAGTAGTGGCAGTTAGAGTAGTTTCAGCTCTAAGAAGTGCAGGGAAAAGTATTGTGAGCCTGCCTGAAACCATAGGGACCTACTCTGTTTGCTAACAAGAGGTGATAACTTGGCTTTTCACTCTGCTGACAGTGTTGCTTGTCCCACACACTCTCAGAGAGCTTCATACAGTCCATAAGCATACAGTCCACTGCACTTTTCATCATTTTACGTTAATGCATAGTTTGAAGGAATAGCTTACCAGAGAGTTAAAATTACGTCTGATTTGTGCTTTGCTTGCAATTTACCTGTCATGGTTTAAGCCCAGACAGCAACCCAGAACCATGCAGCTGCTTGCTCACTCCCCACCTCTCTTCCTCCCACCGCTCCCAGAGGGATGGGGAGGAGAGGCAAAAGAACCTAACTCCCATGGGTTGAGATATGAGCAGTCCAGTAACTAAGGTATAACACAAACCACTGCTGCTACCACCAATGATAATAATGATAAGGGAAATAACAAGGGGAGAGAATACAACCGCTCACCACCCGCCGACCGATACCCAGCCTGACCTGAGCAGCAATCTAGCCCTTCCGGGTAGCTGCCCCCCGTTTATATACTTGGCATGATGTGCTGTGGTATGGAATACCTCTTTGGCTAGTTTGGGTTGGGTGTCCTGTCTCTGCTTCCTCTTGGCTTCCCCTCCTCCCTGGCAGAGCATGAGACTCAGAAAGTCCTTGGTCAGAGTAAACATTACTTAGCAACAACTAAAAACATCGGTGTTATCAGCATTGTTCCCAGGCTGAAAGTCAAAAACACAGCACTGCACCAGCTACTGAGAAGGAGAAAAATGACTGCTACTGCTGAACCCAGGACAATATTCACCCCTTATTCGATACCATTCATGTCATGCTCAGATCCCACATTTTTCAATATACCATCACTCTTGTCTCATATATATATATGTGTACATACACATACACACACACACACACACACAGAGATATATTGCTTAATGCATGGACCAATCCCTGTAAAGCTCCTGAGTCCATCCGGTCCATGATGTTGGGCTCCATCTCTTTTAACAGTCTTTTAGAGCAGGAGAGGCTGTGTGCAGTGCTGGATTATTGCCTGTTGATGACACCGGGGGAACTCACCTGGTCACTGCTGAGCTCGTGGAGTTTCTTCAAGGTTCATTCTCTGTTGGAATGATGGTCGGAGGGAAGTCAGGGCCAGTTGCTGGTGAACTGAAGACATCTATTTGGTGGGCTATAAAAGTGCTACATAGCAGGCAACAGCATACAGTTCAGCTCATTGGCTCAAATCCCCTTGAGGTACACATCAGACTTCCCCATCTTCCCACATTACCCACCAAGTACATCCAGGTCCCTGAGCAAAAGCAATCCCAAGAGTGGATTTGCCTTTACCTGAAGCAGGAATAACCCAGACTGTCTTCCCTAGCAAAATTTTTATGTGCACCACAGGAATTTTGTTCTCTTCTACAGTATGTAAAAGTTCTGACTGGGCTGGGCCAGCCCTGTTGGCAGATCCTCTGGTGTTGACCAACCAGCTGGCTTTTGGTAAATGTGTATCCCAATGTTAGAAATTCCCACCACCCATTGCTCTCAGTGTAGCTTTTAACAGCCCATTATACCATTCACTTTTCCCAGAGGCTGGTGCATGGTAGGGGATGTGATATACCCACTCAATGGCATGCTCTTTGGCCCTAATGTCTATAAGGTTGTTCCTGAAATGAGTCCCATTGTCTGACACAGTTCTCTCTGGGGTGCTGTGTTGCCACAAAATCTGTTTTTCAAGGCCCAGGATAGTGTTCCAGGCAGTGGTATAGGATACAACATATGTTTCCAGCCATCCAGTGGTTGCTTCCACCATGGTAAGCACATGGTGCTTGCCTTGTCAGGTTGGTGGGAGTGTGATATAGTCAATCTGCCAGGCCTCCCCATATCTGTACTTCAGCCATCGTCCTCCATACCAAAGAGGCTTTAACCGCTTGGCTTGCATAATTGCAGCACGTTTCACAGTCGCGAATAACCTGGGCAATAGTATCCATTGTTAAGTCCACCCCTCGATCACAAGCCCACCTGTATGTTGCATCTCTGCCCTGATGGCCTGAAGTGCCATGGGCCCACCAGCCCAAAAATAATTCACCCTTATGTTGCCAATCCAAGTGCATCTGAGCCACTTCGATCTTAGCAGCTTTATCCACTTGTTGGTTGTTCTGGTGTTCCTCAGTGGCCCAGCTCTTGGGTACATGAGCATCTACATGGCGTACCTTCACCACCAGGTTCTACACCCAGGCAGCAATATCTTGCCACAGTGCAGCAGCCCAGATGGGTTTACCTCTGCATTGCCAGTTGCTCTGCTTCCACTGCTGCAACCACCCCCACAGGGCATTTGCCACCATCTGAGAGTCAGTATAGAAATAAAATACTGGCCACTTCTCTCGTTCAGCAATGTTCAAGGCCAGCTGGATGGTTTTCAGCTTGGCAAACTGACTCGATTCACCCTCTCCTTCAGCAGTTTCCGCAACTTGTCATTGGGGACTCCATACAGCTGCCTTCTATCTCCGACACTTCCAAAGCACTGGAAGAACCCACTGGACTAGATACTTGCCCATACTGTCCTACACACCTTGCCACTCATGACTGTGCAGCCTTGGCAAAAATATCTTGGTGGTCCTCCTATATCGTCATCTAACCCTAGACAAGACCCAAACCCAGCCCTGCTTAGCTTCCTTGATCAGACAAGATGGGGCATTCTCAGGGTGATAACGCCGTAGGCAAAACATAGAGAACATATGCAGCAACAAGCTGGTTCCCTGCAAGAGGATCAGGGTGCTTTCAAGGGCATTGAAAGGATATTCAGGATCTTTTACCTCTTCCAGAAACTACTCCCACTGTAAATAGCCTGGTGAGGGAGCAGAGGGTGTGAGGGAATATCTTCTCCATAGATTGAGCTCCCAAGGAAAGGAAAACAAAAGGTGTGTAATTGCTAAATACTTCCATTATATTCCTCCCAAAGTATAGAGGTGATGACCACACTGGGAATGCAAGCCAGATCAGTTTCATAATCAGTGAGTATATTGTATTACAAGTCATTACCATAAAGTACAGTGAAAGAAGAAACTTAGCCCAAGGCCCTCAGCTGATAAACAATAGAACAGCAAATACTGGCTGTAAGTAAGGTGTGACATGCTGAAACTCTGAGATCAAGAGCAACAAGTTTGAGAGCCAATAAATCAGCATTGTGATGAGTGACTATTAATCCGAATCACAAATACGATTAGACACACTCTGGTCAGATCTGTCGTTATCTCAACCCTTCGTGCCCCACATTGGGCGCCACAAAAAACTGTCATGGTTTAAGCACAGCCAGTAACTCAGAACCATGTAGCCACTCACTCACTCCCCACCTCTCTTTCTCCCCCCACTCCTGGAGGAATGGGGAGGAGAATATCATGAAATTCCCAGCTTTTAACAGTGTATGAAAACAGTCACTGCATTTTGTTTTAAAAAGAATATCCAGTTGATCAGGATATGTTTATGTAAAATCGTATTCAGAGTATAGTAGTAAAACATCAGCACTTTTCCAGTCTTCTGGAATTCCCTCCATAGGTACTACAAGCAAGCTTCAGTTGACCAGGCTCTCATCAGCCATTTGTTTAGGGTCATAAGACACAGATTATTTGGCCATACAAGTGGAGAAATGCTTTGCCCTCTTACTTCTTGTCTAGTATACAGACAAGCCTGGAAAGCATTTCCTTCTCTCAGGGTTCAAACAGGATAAAATTCATCTCATCTGACCAAAACTGGGCCTCCACCCAATTTTTTCCTCCTTTTCCTTTCTGCCAGCACTGGGATTTAAGAGCTGACATTGTGGAGATGGCAGCACGGGTGGGAATTAGGAGTCACAGGAAGAGAGTGAAATTGCTTCTTTGGCATAAATGACAGCCTAAAGCTTTCTTGACGTTTTATGTTACATCTAGGTTATATCTAAAAAACAGCAGTTTACATCTGCAATCAGTCCATCTCTATTAACAACTGGTAGAAAGTGAAACAGTTAGCTTAGCTTAGACATGGCCCAGGATGTGCTGATTAACTGAAGCTGGGTGCAGTGAATGCTGGCCATTGGGTCAATCCTGGATACAGCAGCAGGAATATTTTGCAAAATCCTCAGTTGGTCTGTAGGAAGAGCAGGTGAAGGGTTCAGCAAGATTGTATTCATAGCTGCTGAAAGTAACTGAACAGCTTGAAAAGGTTTCTTTGAGAGTTCTGGCACCATTAATTGTTCCCTTTACTTCTGGCAAATGGATTCTATTGAAAATTTTGCCTCACCCTCCACTGAGGCTAGAATTGACACCAGTTGCCACTGAAGTGAAGAACAAGAGTTGACAGTACAGGTTCAGACATGTCACTAAAAGCCTTTTAAGACATATTCTTTACATTAACCCCCCAAAATCAATGCAAGCCCTCTCAGTGCAATAGCATCTGAAATTATGTGTATCTAATACAGGATAATCATTATGTACATTATCACAGGCAGATTCGATATTATTTTTTATTGCATTATTGGCATTTCATTTTCACAGACCCACTATGGAGAGTCAAAGATTGCAATAAATCTGACCTGTTAGGTCAGGTCCAACACGGCGATGCACAGCATAAACTTCTGTCAAAGTTGATATGAAATTCCCCTGCGTATTTTAACAGAGCAAGGTCTTTTTCAACTACTTAAGAATGGCACTGAGGAACTGTGAGCAAGGGAATTAATGGTACAGTGGTCTTGTAGAGGAAGTCTCTTTGTCAGTCTCTTCTGGTTGAAATTTTTCCTGGTTGGTGAGACTACAGTCCATTAAGAATAAATAACTATAAAGCACCACACATCTGGCTACAGTTTAATCGTAGCTGTGGGAATTGCATCCCAGTGCAGAGCAAGGCTGAAAGTTCACTTTTCACCGTAACTGTACTGCATCTGCAGAGAGAGAAGTGGATTTTGCCTTTTCAAGATTGGATTATGCTAAGTTTTGAGTATAATGAATATATATTTAATATCAGGTCAAACTTATGTATTGTTTCTGGATATCAATTCTATGTTTGCTAATGGAGAGAAGCGGGTATGTGTTTTCATTCTGCTTTAATAAAATGCCAATATAAAACATGTTAAATGATTGACCTCAGTGAAACAAATCTTTAAGCACAGTTGAGGCAGAAGCAACATTTGCTTTAACATTAGGCTGCCTGACAGTGGCCAAGGTGCCACACTGTTTCCTTGGACTGTTTAATCATCAGTCCCTCTGCTGCATCTGTGAGTCACAGGATAGACTGTGCAGATGGAAACTCTTCTGTCCCTCAGGAAGCAGACATGGCATGGATAGGTGTTTGTAATGGCTACCTCCAGCACTTCAATAGCAAAATCTAGGATTGCGCCTAGGACCAGAGGTCATCAGTACAACATTCAGTGTAGATCCAGAAGGTTGGAGGTCATAGCCATGTGAAAACATCTATTCCACTTTGACATAGCTTAGCCTGTAGTACAGTCTTCAAAGAAAGGTATTGGAGGAGAGAATAGTGCTAATCTGATTCACTAGGGAGATTGGTAAGCCAAGTTATATTTTCTCTATTCTTTTAGGTCTGGTGTTGCATTATTTTTATTATCTGGGGTTTTTTGTGCAGTTGAAGCTATGATTTTTCACCTGTTTTCGGCTACTGACTGTTACGGAAACACTTGTCTGTTTGGCCTAATTTTATAGGTGGATTAAAAAGAAAAAGAAAGAAAGTTGTGTATTTCTTAGATGAACTTTCCCAATATTAAGGGATCTAAACTGTTTTTTCTACCAGCAGTTGCCATTTACCATTTCACAAGGACAGACTTCTGAAGAGCCTTGCACAAACAATCTTAAATGATTATTTGAAAGTCATACTTTGTAACACTGTGGGCAGAAGAGCAGACTCCACAGTCAAGGGCAGGCTTTGTGCAGCATTCAGATTCATGCACAAAATTGAGAGCTTCTTCACTGACCTCTTCTGAAGAGAATCCACTGATTTTCCTTGGAAGAGGTTGAGGAAAATGGTATTGCCTCCTGTAGACAGTGAGCCCTGGAAATCAAAGCTGGCACCTTAATTTGCAAAAGGAAGCAAGCTGGAACCTAGTGCAGCCAGAGATAAGAATTCAAGTGTCAAATCGTTCCTGACCATACTGCCACATTCGCAGCAAGTTATTGCCTTTGCAGTGTTCAGCTCCTGAGGCCATGAAATGATTAGTCTATGGAGACCGCTTTGAGATGGATCCGGTTACAGTTCCATTGTTTGTTTTGGGCTGTAGTGTGCAGGTAAACAGTTGTATGTGTTTTCATTAACTCCAGTTAGGTTTCCACAGATGGAGGACCATGTGTTCTCCTTCTTGGCCACTGTCTATTGCGCACTGCAGTCTTCTTGGTAGAGAGCAGAGAAACCTGTGTTATGACTCTCATGTAACTCATTTTATTTCACCGTGCTCTGTTTCAGCCCATGGACCAGGCTTCTCTTAAAAACAGTGATGTTCTCATCCTGACGGGTCTTACGCAAATCCCGACTGCCAACCCAGATGGCATGGTAGGAGAATTCTGCAGCAACTTGGGTAGGTCCTTGAAAGAAGTTTTCTGCCTGTTTTATCACCTTATTCACGGCTCTTTGTGGGAAATAATTCTGAGATTCCTGGAACTGAATAAGTTGTCCAGCTATAGCTTCTGGCATAAAACTAGCTGTTTAGATTTTACGATGTGCTCCTGATGTCATTAATACAGTAAGTGCTTGGAGAGACACAAGTTGTACCTAAAATGTTTTGGAATGGAACAGGTATAATGAGTTTTAATCATCTGCTGCTCTTGGTTTGCTAAGTATGTCACTTAGCTGCCAACAGACTATGTGTTGCCTAGGTTTTGGATATTGTTCCCATCTGTAATATTACTATTTCCTTCCTGTATATCAGCCAGAGCAAAATCTTTACATGCTTTTTTGTGACTTCCAGTTTTGAAAACAAGTACATCTGCTTCCCTTCTTACACCTGATTTTAAATATATCAAAAGCAAACAGCACAATCTCTGTTTAAAAAAAAAAAAAAAACAAGATATATTTATAGACCCCAGAAATATAAAACCTAATCAGACGCTTTCACAGCTGGAAAAGCTGATAATTGCAAAGCTGTGGTATCAGTGTGAATGGCAGTATTTTCCAGACTGTTTGGAAAGTCACATCCAGTGCTGTTCTCCCCTTTTCTCCCCTTCCCCCATCTCAGTTCCTCTGTACTCTCACCCTTCTTTCGTCAAACCACTTCCTTATGTCTGTCCTGCTGTATATTTTCTGTTCTTTTATCAGATATCTTCTCTTTATTTTATATCAAATACTTTGTAAAAAGATGACTAAAAAGCTTGTGATAGGAGAATTGTTACAAAGGTTACCAAAAGACATTAGAAGTTCTCACTGTAAGAAAGTGTTTTGGTTCCCATCACACACCTGAGAGAAATCTGAGCTGTAGTATCTATGTGGCTTACCCGAAATTGCAGAATAAGGTTAAGAATAGGACTGAAGTGCAAATTCTTAGTCTTACTTTTTACATATGAATGCACCCTTGGAGAAGTAAAAAAACCCTGCAATACTTTGTTTTTTTCCCCATTTTAAAATCCTTGTGCATATTCACAGATGCTGAATATCTGTGTACTGTCTTACAAGCCCAGTGTGAGATTGCCTTGGTAGTGGAAGGCAGATACTTCAAAGAATGTGATAGACTCCTCCATCACCCACCAACTTCAAATCAGAATCAGATATCCCTACTTAAGAATGGTAATCATCGGTTATGCCAAAAACCCTCTCTGCCAACATCCTGGCTCCAACAGGAGCTGTCAGCAGATGCCTAGAGAAGAGCAGGACAGAATGAGGTTATAGTATACCTTTCCCTCTTCATCTCATAGCCTTCAAGTATTTTTCTTTCAGGAATTTCCTGAATCAGACATGGCTTTTGTGTGGTTAGTAATGTTCAGTGGATTTCTCTTCACTCCTTTGACCTGCCCTTGAAGCTGTGTTAATTCTTAACACCTGTGACTTCCTTTCCTAAGTGATATGTGTGTTTATGTGTGTGTGTGTATTATGGTCTGGGTTTTCATTGTTTTTCATTGTTTTTAAGAATTGTTACTTTTATTACCCTATGAGCTGTCACAGGTAAGTGTTGGTGACCTTGTACTAAATCCAAATGTGCTGCCTTTCTCTGTCCATTATGGATCTTTATGGGGGTTACAGTCCCTTTGACAGGTGATAGCATGGTTTCATCCGATTATCTTACCATAAACCACCACAGAAGCAAATCTGAGCTGAAATGTTACGCTTTGTCCTGGAGAGGCTGAGGAGTGCTAGGTCGTGTTCTGCTGCCAACTCTGTTGCAAATCATAGAGTCATGGAATAGTTTGGGTTGGAAGGGACCCTAAGGCTCACCCAGTTCCAACCCCCTGCCGTGGACAGGGACACCTTCCACTAGAGCAGGTTGCTCCAAGCCGTGTCCAACCTGGCCTTGAACACTGCCAGGGATGGGGCAGCCACAGCTTCTCTGGGCAACCTGTGCCAGGGCCTCAGCACCCTCACAGGGAAGAACTTCTGCCTAAGAGCTCATCTCAGTCTCCCCTCTGTCAGGTTAAAGCCATTCCCCCTTGCCCTGTCCCTACAGGCCCTTGTCAAAAGCCCCTCTCCAGATTTCTTTGTTGCCCCCTTTAGGCACTGGAAGCTGCTCTAAGGTCTCCTGGAGCCTTCTCTTCTCCAGGCTGAACAAACCCAGCTCTCTCAGCCTGTCTTCATAGCAGAGGTGCTCCAGCCCTTGGAGCATCTTTGTGGCCTTCTCTGGACTCGCTCCATCAGGTCCAAATGCTCTCCAGCAAGTATCTTGGTGGTCAGTCATGTCTTGAACTGCACCAGCTGTATGCTGAGTAAACAAGAGTGAAACCGTTGTTAATTAAAATGCTTTTAAAAATTAAAGAGATGTAGCTTGGGCCAAAGCAAAATCCAAAAGATGAACGCATATAAATAAATGTGTTACATATGTAGGTACAGGTGGATGTTCATCTGCACAAGTTGCTTGGTTTACAGAAACATTCTGAACTATTTTGAGGGTTTTGCAGATGGTCTTCAAGCCAGCTTTTATCTTGAAGGAGACATACTCAAAGAAATTAGAAAATTATTAAAGACTCAAGGAAGATATGTGCTTAAAATAATGCCATTGTAAGAATCTGGGATTTGAGTGGTATTTCCCAAAACAGCAACCTGAAGAAATTAAATAATTTTATGAATAATGAAGTCATAGGGTTGTCTTTTACATGACACCAGCAGTACTTAGACATTTACCCAGCATTAGGAGAAGAAAATAGTGAATCAGTTTTCTTTCAAATGTATAAAAAAGTCCAAAAATCAATAGGTTGCTGGGAAAAGCAATAGAGAAGGCAAGCTGAGCACAATCACTTTCATATATTTTTCCCATTTCCAAAATGCTCAGGGCACTTCACAAGAAGCTCAGCATGCACTAGGTGAAAACTCTAAAGCAGACACTGGGAATTTACCAAAAATGTGTATCATGAGGTACTGGCATGTTTGTGAATTAAGTGTTGTGAAGCACAGAGATGGAAGTGTGAAAATTTCACCTTGATCTCTGTTTTCATCCCAGTGTGTAGAGTTGTAGATGCCAATTCCCATTATTACCAAGTCACATGTATGATTTCCTCCCAGCACTGTGTGTGCAGCACTGAAGCCACACTTTGTCACATCTCCGAGTTCCTCTCAGTTTAGCCCAAACCCCATTTTTCCATGCTAAGCACTGCAGCACCAGCACTCCTGCAGCTCAAGAAAAGCAATTGTGTTTTTACATTGCCTTGGGCATCATCAGCAAATTTGCCAGACTGTCTATAGGGACAGTTTGTGATATTTTGTGTGCGTGTGCGATCTTTCCTCTGTGTATGTGTGCATGTGTTTATATAAAGCAGGAAAGAGCACAGTTTGCTTTTTAGGTGCCAACTTGACCTTGTGGTGGCAGCTGTTCGAAAAGCAAGTATCTCATTGTGAGCTGTAAATTGAAAAACTTGTTATGGAGCTACTGAAGGAGACTAAATTTGAAATGCCAAGATTATTATGCAACTTTTATTGAGAGAGTGCATCCATCAGTCACAGGGATAAATCGGGCTTAAACAGCTTTCAAATATACGTGTCTTCTTACTGACAACTACAGAAAGTTGCTGTAGTGGTGCAGAGAGCCAGATTGGACCTACTGTTTGCATGGAAAGCAATATGCTTGTAGAGGTTTTCATCCCTGTTTGGCAGAAGCTCTTATCCCTTTATGGAACCACTTAATAGCACCCTCAAGAAGCAGTGCCCAGCTGTGCTGACCCCAGCACATATGTATAAACTTGTACCAAGGAACTGAGTAGTGTATTCTAAATGAAAAAGTTGTCACACAGAGCCTTGTCAGAGGTGGGATAGCCTTTCCTGCCCTGGGGAGAAGTATGCACCAGGCCAGTTTCAAGGGTGCATCATTGTGCCACCAACAGCATGAGATTCAAGGGACCAGCAGCCCTCGGTAAGGCAGCTGGCTGGAAGAGTGCTCCACTCCCTGATCGAGATATTAATTATTGTTAACCAGATCTATAGTTTTCCTGGGAACAGAAACTCAAGTTGGCATTTGCTCCAAGACCTTAACGCTGTTAATTTTCTCCATGACCTCAGGAATCTTGAACTTCTGGTTGTTTTCCCGTAGTGAACCAATGGCTTCAGGGAAGGGAGAGCTGTGAATTCAAAGTGTATTGTGTTTGCCTGGTGAAGTTTTGGTATTCAGGGGGCTACAGAGGTGGCTTCTGTGAGAAGCTGCCAGAAGCTTCCTCTGTGTAACAACAAAACCATCAACTTCAGGCAGAGAGGGGAGTGAGAAAATGTGAGAGGAACAGCCCTGCAGACCCCAGTGTCAGTGAAAAAGGAGGGGAGGACATGCTCCAGGCACCAGAGCAGAGATTTCCCTGCAGCCCATGGTGAGCCAGGCTGTGCCCCTACAGCCCGTGGAGGGCCCCACACTGGAGTAGGGGGTGCCTGAAGGAGGCTGTGACCCCGTGGGAAGCCCATGTTAGAGCAGTTTATGCAGTCTGTGGGAAAGACTCCTGCTGGAGCAGTTCATGAAGGACTATCTCCTGTGGGAGGGACCCCATGCTGGAGCAGGGGAAGTGTGTGAGGAGTCCTCCCCTGAGGAGGAAGGAGCGACAGAGACAACATATGATGAACTGACCATAAACCCCATTCCCCAGTGCTGCTGGAGGGGAGAAGGCAGAGAGTTTGGTAGTGAAGTTAAGCCTAGGAGAAAGGGAGGGGTGAGGGGAAGGTGTTTTTTAAGGTTTGGTTTCATTTCTCATTATCCTGCTCTGATTTGATTGGTAGAAAATTAAACTAATTTCCTTTCCCTAAGTCGAGTCTGTTTTGCCCATGATAGTAATTGGAAAGTGATCTCTCCCTGTCCTTATCTCAACCCATGGGCCTTGCATTATATTTTCTCCCCCCTTGTACAGAGAAACAATAGGCTTAGCCCAGGCCCCCCAGCTGATAAACACTAAAGCAGCAAATACTGGCTGCAAGTAAGGTACAACATACTGAAACTCTGTGACTAAGCACAACTCTGAGAGAATATAAATAAACATTGTGACAAGTGACTATTAATCCAAAAACAATGATGCTTATCACAAATACGATTAGACACACTCTGGTCAGATCTGTCGTTATCTCAACCCTTCATGCCCCACGTTGAGCGCCACAAAGAACTGTCATGGTTTAAGCCCAGCCAGTAACTCAGAACCACGCAGCCACGCAGTCACTCCCACCTTTCTTCTTCCCCCCACTCCTGGAGGAATGGGGAGGAGAATCAAAAGAATGTAACTCCCAAAGGTTGAGATAAGAACAGTCCAGTAGCTAAGGTATAACACAAACCCACTAGTGCTACCACCAATAATAATAATGGTAAGAGAAATAACAAGGGGAGAGAATATAAAACTAAAAAGGGAGAAGAAAAAGAAAACAATAAAAAAAATTGTTGCATAATGCAATTGCTCACTACTTGCCGACTGATACCCAATCTGACCCAAGCAGTGATCTGGGCCTTCTGAGTAATTCCCCCTAGTTTCTATGCTGGGTATGACGTGCTGTGGTATCAAATACCCCTTTGGCTAGTTTGGGTCAGGTGTCCTGTTTCTGCTTCCTCCAGCTTCTTGTGCCCCTTCTCACTCACAGAGCATGAGACTGAAAAAGGAGGGGAGTGATGATGGGGCTTAGATGGGGCACCTAGCCTCCAGACAGGGTCAACACACCACAAAATCTTAGGAATGAAACTCACGTGTTTCATGTCCTGGACAAATTCTTTCACCAGCCCATCATTAAATGCAAGCTGTTCCTCCAGGATCTTCAAAGGGAAGGATGAGCCATTTGTCTTAACCAGGTGAAGTTATTTGGTGTCTGAGAAAAGAAGAGGGCACCCATTTCTTGGAGACACACACCTTGGTGTTTCAGCCAGTATTTGTTCAGCGCAGATACAGAGCTGCAGACATAACTCTTGTCGTGTTCCACTGACCACTAATGCACCCTGCTCTCCGCATCCTGTCTCTGGCCCATGCGACATTCTTGCTGCTATGGATCTAGGTACTCCTCTTCCCTCTTTGCAGAATTTTCGGATGCGTAATATAGCAATGCAAAGTCTGGTCCTGGAGCCAGAGACTTAACTTTCATCCCCCAGATGGCTTTGAAAATACTGTTCTTAATCTCATCCCTCTCTTCACATCCTGTGTACAGATGGGACAGTTTAAACTTTCCCATGTAAGAAGGATAATATAACACATTGCTGGGATGTTTTGTGACATCTCAGGTTCTAGACAAATGTAAAATATTGCTATTCATATTTACAGATATTTTGGTGATATATTTTGCATGTGCTCTGGATAAAACCTAGGCAATAATTCAGTGCACTTCTAATACAACTGTGATGTAGAAGGTGTCTTGGACCACCAGTTGTTGTTGAGAACAGAATGTAATAGGCACTGACTGCTAAAAGGACTTACGCACCTAAATGCATGTGAAAAATCGTATGAGTCTTTGCATTTCCCCAGACTCCATAAAACCTTTAAACATTCAGCCATAAAAGTCCTCCTTCAGCATGCAGGTGGGGCAAAAAGACCCTTAATGTGCTAAATCCGTACCCCATCATAGCTTGTCAATAAATTGAAGTCAAGGAAGTGATTATGGAGGGTTGTAATATGTGCCTTTTCAGGCTCTTTCACAGCTTTTTGTGTAATGCCTTGATGCGTAATGTTACTGCTGCTGCGCTGCAATTAACATCAGTAGATGGTTTTACCCCAAGACAACAGATAAAATCCTAGTGAGGCAGCAATTGCTCAGTGAGCTGGACAAAGGATTTCCAGTTTCCCTAAGGTACAGCGTTTTGTCATTTATTCTGCCAAAAGAACAAAATATTTTGCTGTTGGACTCAAATGTATCTCAATTACAGAGTAAACCTATTTTTCTTTTTCCTTTTCCACGTTTTTTTCTACTCCCATGCTGTCTGCAATTCATAAAGGTTTTAAATTGTTCTTGTTATACTGAAATGACAGAAATATTTAGATTTTTTTAAAAAGGAGAAACACTCCACCATCCACTTCTAGCTTCAAGGGCTGTTTGAAATAACCTTATCTTAAGCTTTTCATATGGAGTACTGAAAAACAAGTACAGAACAGTTTACCATGTGTAGAGCTTTCAACTGAGACCTGTGAACTGTTGTCCTTCCCCCCTGGTCCACAGCTAATATAGATGGATCAGAGTTTATTTTGATGATGAGGTTTATCCTCATGTGGCAGTGCAAGACCGCCCTCTCGTGTCAAGTTTAGCTTGGGCTCAGTCTGTTACATGCTCCCCAGCTAATGGAGTATAATCATTTTCTCCAGTCTTGCTTCCTGGAGAAGGCAGTAAATAAATGTATTTAATGATCATAAGTGTTCCTCTCAATTCATATGCATAATGTCTTCTGCTAATTCATGTGATAGCTTTTTATACCTTATGTGATGTTTGGATTAAAGTAATTTATTAAAAAAGTTTAAATATGAACCCTGTTAATTGATTTTTCTCATTCTCTCTCTCTCTTAGCTATGACTGTCCGGAATGGAGGAAATGTACTTGTTCCCTGTTATCCCTCTGGAGTAATATATGATCTGCTGGAGTGCCTATATCAGTATATTGACTCTGCTGGACTCTCCAATGTCCCTTTTTATTTCATCTCACCTGTTGCCAACAGCTCCCTTGAGTTCTCCCAAATCTTTGCTGAATGGTAGGTGTTAAAAGGCTGCTTCGTCAGCCTTAATTCAGATACTCAGCTATGGTAAATAGATGTATACAGGTTACTTTATTTAACACACTCTAATATATACTTGATTAGAATTGTGAACACATTTCTTTAGTCACAAGGGCATGTGTACATGTGTAAGTGGATGTTCTATATTGGGGAAACATCATTTCCTATAGAACATACAAACTTAGTAGTCTGTGCTTTTTGGTACTTGCACTGATGATTAAATTATGTACCTGACATGAGTGAAAGTTAGCTGTGCCTGTTTGCACACGTTATGCAGTGCCCCCACAACTATACCATGGTATCACTGTATAAGGAAAATAGATTTTTCAGGCTTAATTTTGTTGAGCCAGCAGTGTATTTGCATGGCAAAAAAAGGCTGGCAGTATCCTGGGCTGCATTAGGCAGAGCACTGCCAGCAGGTCAGGGAAGGCGATGGTTACACTCAAAGAGTTGTAGTCAATGGCTCAGTTTCCTGGTGGACACCTCTCATACTTGGCTTGAACACCAAACTAGAGCATCTTCTCTATGGACACAGGGTGAGAGAGCTGGGCTTGTTCAGCCTGGAGAAGAGAAGGCTCCAGGGAGACCTTAGAGCAGCTTCCAGTGCCTGAAGGGGGCAACAAAGAAATCTGGAGAGGGGCTTTTGACAAGGGCCAGTAGGGACAGGACAAGGGGGAATGGCTTTAAACTGACAGAGGGGAGATTGAGATGAGATCTTAGGAATAAGTTGTTCCCTGTGAGGGTGGTGAGGCCCTGGCACAGGTTGCCCAGAGAAGCTGTGGGGGCCCCATCCCTGGCAGTGCTCAAGACCAGGTTGGATGGTGCTTGGAGCAAGCTGGTCTAGTGTAAGGTATCCCTTCCTATGTCAGGGGTTGGAACTACATGAGCTTTAAGATCCCTTCCAACTCAAACCAGTCTATGATCTAGATTCTGTGATTATCAGTGTATAGAAATACCTGATGGGGAGAAATGAGGATGAGGGAGCCAGACTCTTCTCCACAGGGCCTATTGACAGAACAAGAGGCACAAATTAAAACACATGAAAACAAATTCTGTCCTAACAGAAGAAACACACTTTTTTACTATGAGGGAGTTCAAACCCTGGAACATGTTGTGGTGCGAGTTTGTGGAGTCGCTGTCTATGGGGGCTCCGGAGCCCAACTGGACACAGTCCTGGATGACCTGCTGTAGTGCTTGAGCAGGGGCTTGGACTGGGTAATCTCAAGAGCAGCCTTCCAACCTTAACAGAGACATCAAAAGGAAAACCCAATCACTTGTAACTGTTCCTGAAATCTTACAAATTGAGACATTCCCTAGATTATTAAATAGAGTAAGTTAGCTTTGCCTTCCTTTTAAGTCCTTTTAAGTCTGGAGTTCAGGAAAGAAAAGATATGTCCTGGAAATATTAAGTAGATTGATCCCATGGGAGGATTGTAAAGAAGATTAAAATCTGGTGAATTTAATTACGTTGCTTTCAGCAGAAGTAGGAAAATCAAGCCTTGGTGTCCGGGCCAAACTCTGTGTACTCACCAGTTTGCTCTGACTCTTGGCAGTTTATAGTTAAACAGTTTTGTACTTTGTTGGTGATTTCATTTCAGTAGCCTGTGAAGTGGTAGTTACTTAGTGTATAGTTCTTGTTGCAATAATGCTGTCAAAGTAGCAGCAGTGTTACCTGTGCCACTTAGGTCATTCTGCTTGCTGCATCGAGCTGGCGCAACTCAGGCACCGAAGTGGTCAGACACCCTTTTTTTTGAGGTCTACTTTGCTGCAGTGACTTACATTTGAAAGTCAAACCCAGCATTAGCAAATCTCCAAACACTTATGTGTGAGGTGAACATTTTACTTACATGGAAGTTCAGGCAGAGGTTGAACATCTGCAAACTGGAGGGTCAGAACAGAAGCTGAAATTCAGGACTCCAGCCTTCCAATTCTACTGCTTAGTCAGCCAAAATAAATGTCCTGCTCTTAGTATCTCTTAGACTTTATTAAATTTAATTTGACCCAGGCTTATTGCTGTGTAATAAAGAATGAGACAGGTAGTGTTTCCCAGAAAGAGCCACCAGGACAATGTCACTACATATAACTGCAACATCACACAGACCTCTGACAAATATCTTTTTTGACCTTCTGTAATAGGATGAGTCTGGCTAGAGCTGCTCAACAACCTTCAGTATTTATGTTTTAAAAATAAATGATTGATGTAGAATCTCAGGTAACAATGAGCAGTGTGTCACAGTGAGAGGCAGTTAACCAACCTTGTAGCTGCAATACTAAAATGCATAGGGGAATTAGATTATAATAAACAAAAGGACCAAGTCACTGCTGAGAAGGGGGATGAGGTAAGTGGAATTTTTCTGCTAATGGGTGATTTTGCTTTGCAAATGCTGCTGAGCTCTAATCTATGAAATTATGTGGATGTTGAGTTACAAATTTGTCTTCAACAGCAAAGGAGTTCTTCTACATTGTGTGTAAAAAATTACCCTCAGCTGTCTTGCACCTTCTCTATTCTGACTTGCTATGACTGAATTGTTATTTTCTGTAGGTGTTGGTCCCCTAAACAGGACAACAAAACAAATCGGTGATTTTGCACCTGATGCCACAGGTGTGGAATGGCTTTCTCCTGAAACGTTTAACAGTAGATGGCAGCAGATACTGTAGGATGTTCTGCACCTCTCTAGCCCGGCTGATTTTCCTTTTCTTTTAAAGGTTGTGTCATAACAAACAAACAAAGGTGTATCTTCCAGAACCTCCCTTTCCCCATGCTGAGGTAAGTAAACCATGGTCTTGCTGTTTGCTAAGGTCACAGTGTGACTGGCTTTTTGGAACACAGATCTGTGTGGCTGTTTCTTTCCTGATGAACACTTCTACAGCTATTTAAGTTTTGTGAAATTATCCATGCAAGTTTGGGCTTTTTTTCCTTTGCTTTCCATGATTAATTTGGGAGCATGGGGGAGGAATGAATGATGGTGTTCCCTCAGCTCACAAATTACTGTGATGTTTATTTCAGCATATAACTTACATATGCTTGCCTGCTTCACTTCTTCCCCCGCAGAAGGCTATCTGGTGTACACATGGTTGAATCTTTGCACTTATCAGACTGCAACCATGAATATCCCTTTTGTCCAAGCAGTTTATTTCAAAGTCTGTAAAACTAAGATCTTGTTAACAGAGACAGCTTAGTCATCCCAGCATCTCCATAGCTGAAATAGGCACCATGTTGTCTGCTGCAGGAGAAACGGTATTTTGAAGGAGAGGTCTGATGTAAAAAAGCTTGCAGCACTGGGTGCTGTTTTTGACAATTTTAAGTGAAACTACCTGAGCTAGCATCTTAGTGAAGCAAAAAATAATAAGATTCTTGTCTTTGGGTGGATCTCCCTGCAACCCATGTTGAGGGGATCTCTGCAACAAAATAATAACTTGAGGGGAAGTTTTAGCCAACTAGACATTAAATAAATGTGGTAGAACTCATGCCTTCGGAGTTATCTCACATATCAAGAAATGATGTCTCTTAGTTTCCCCACTGTGAACCAGTAGCAGTAAATGAGAGACTGGCTGGGAAAGGAAGAAACAGGACTGAGAAATTTAGCTACACCTACTCCTGTGAGACACCATTTGGGGCATGCAGTCTCAGAAAACTGCCTCTTTTAGAGCTGTTTGATGAGGTGTGCAGAGTGGCAATTACAGCTTTAAGAGTCCAAATATTAAAATGCTTTTTCAGGCATTGTTTGGGGTTTTTTTTTTGGTTTTTTTTTATTTTCCTCTGAGATACCTCATCAAGGGACTTGTTTTGGAAATTGCCACTGCCCGTCACATGTATCACCTGTAGGTGCTTCAGAGGCCTCGGTGGAAGTAGATCTGACCAGAAGTCCTTATTCCAGATGGACAAGGGCACCTCCTGTTCAAAGATAGGCTAAGAAAGTTGGGGCTGTTCAACCTGGAGAAGAGAAGGCTCCATGGAGACCTCATAGCAGCCTTCCAGTATCTGAAAGATGCTGGAGAGAGACTTTTCATTAGGGTCTGTAGAAATATACAAGAATACAAGACTCTGTAGCCATGCTGCTGGCTTTCTAATTACCCCTGAATCTCTGCTTTCTGGGATGTCCTTGTTGATCCACAGTGTCATTGGTTTCAGTGACAGCCTATATTCTACCAATGACATTGCTTCAAATTTTAGTTCACAATATGCTCTGGAACTGGCAGGTTTAAGTGAAAGCCCTTCCAAAAATAAGCCGAACATGCAGCTGTCAAAGACTGGATTAATTGACCCATCTTCTATGATGGGTCTTTGTGTTTATAGAGTGATAACTATGTCCTCTAATTTTTAGGACATATTATATTCTCCAGAGGCATTTTGATAATGAGATTTTGCCAAATTGTTGTTTAGCTATTGAGACATTCCTCTGTGCTTCATGTGCAGATCAAGGTAATTATCTAGGAAATGACTCACAGCAGTGGATAACAGATCAGTGGATAACAAAATGCAGTGCACAGAGGGAGTAACATGCCCGTTACAGGTACAGCTTTGGTTGACAAGGTCAAATCATGCAGATCATGACCCACAAAGCTTGGGACATATTATTGTGAGGTGCACAGATAGCTTTATCCAGACCCATGGATATCGTTGACAGGAAGCCACTTTTAGGCTTCTTACATTTTTGCCTAAATATTTCCTTAAATGGGCTGAATGACTCAACATACTATGAATGCACACCCTTGTGGCTCTCAAACTATGAAATGCCTCTAGCCTTTAGGCATTTCAGCACTGAGCTACCATCTGAAGTAAGTATTATACATTTCCCCTCAATTCAACTAACTAAAATTGTGTGTTTGGGTGCTCACTTAAGCATGCTGCTGTGTAAACACTGGGAAGTGGAGTAAACAGTGGAAAGTGGGAGTAACCTGTGCTACCCCCATTCCCTGATGAACAAAATGCATCTCTTCATTACTAATTCCTGATACATATTAGCTGTTTTGCAAAACCAATTTGTATGGTGGGAGGCAGCAGCCCTAGGCATACAGCAAAGCTCTTTCAAAAGCCTGGCTTAGTAGCAAAACCAAAACAAAGTAATACCCAGGCAAAGAAAGTCTGAGGATGCTATTTCATTTAGTGCTTTTCCTAAGGTCATAAATCACTGAAGTTTAGATGTGTGAGAGCACCAGATCAGATTGCTCCTTTTTTCTTCTCTAAGAGGCATGGGTTGGTTTAGTTTAGTTTCAAACAAAGCATACTGAGATTTATATAGATGACTGACGTGTGAGATATGCTTGCCAACACAGTGCCAGGACATCCATGTTAGGTACCCTGCATTATATTCCTTGCTGCTGTCCTCTGAGAGACAGCTACTGCCATTCTTATACTCCTCTAATGCTCAGCCACCTCGGGCTGCATTCCAGTTATAGTGGTACCTACAGCTGGTTGCAGTTTAATGCTGTCATACTGTTTCTAAAGCATGGGAGAGGGGCTGGGTTTCTTTTTCTTCTATGAAATACAGAGTTGGAAAAAACAGTGTAAACAGAAGAAGGGCAAAACCTTGCAGCCAGCACTGTATGTGAAACTTATATGTGAAATATCTTACATAACCTCTTTTCAGTACAATCTTTTACAAATGCAGTTTTTATTCCCAGGCAGAAACCCTGTGATGCCTGTGCACAGAGTATCCACAGTAGGCTCAGGTGCCATGATGTTTTGGTGTAATTTCACCAAGCAAAATGGTCTTAATACAGACCTGGCCTGAATAACCTGCCCATGGCCATACCATCAGTCTAGGAAGGACTTGGACTCAAGGCTTCCAGTTGCTAATTTAGAGCTTTTGTCAGCAGCCAGCCTTTTTGTTTTAGGTTAACACACTTTAAATCTGTGAATCCACAACCTCACAATCAGGAGCTCTGCTTACTAGCAGTTAAGGGAGTTTTTAATGAGTATCAGAAGCAGACATCAAATGATCATTTCTCATGGCCAGGTTGTTAGCAGAGAATTGCCTAACTTTTCTCAAAGTAATGGTAGGCTTTTGCAATGTAACCTAGATGGAAATTGCCCATCATGAAAAGATGTGCTTAGCTGCTCTCTTGTTGGAAGAAAATAGGGAATTACTCAGACATGCCTCTTAGTTATGAGCAAGCATTAATAACATGCCTGGCATGATACATCATAAGGGAACAGACCAGGAAATAAGCTTCTAATTATCTACAGAATAAGTCCAGCCCAGTATGCTGTCTGATCCTGAAACTTGAGGTTCCTGTTGGCTGTATAAATAGCAAGATTTAAAAACAAACAAGGAAAAATAATCCCCCAAATTGTCGAAGTAGTCTCTTGCAGCAATAAGTTCCAGTGGTGCCTGCTGCATAGTATAAAAGAGCATTTACTTCCCTTATGATTGCATTTCACTCAACAATCCCTTTGTTATTGTTACAAGAGGATAAATAAAACTATCTTAATCTTCTCTACAATTATTTTTATTTTTATTATTTTTCTCTATACTAAGTTGTTTGAAGCTTTTCCAGTCTCTTTGCGTGGAAATTTTCCAGGTTTATTATTTGTTACCTGTTCTGAGCTCATTTCTTGTTCTGCTGCACTGAATAAAACCAGACACACTGTTCATCTCTGCAGAGAATCCAAAACATTTCTACTCCCTCCATGTTACTTCCACTTTAATGCTGTAGTAAGTGTTCATCATATTTCCTCCTGCATGGTAACTGTGTACAATTTTTTGGGGTGGCATTTTATTTCCTAACACCTAGTCCAAGTGAACAGGGAATATATTTTCTCTCTGTTACAAGCAAGGAATGCAGGCTAAAGTGCTCTAGGTTCATAAGAATGGATTTGGACATCAGTTCCTACTAGTGTTAATATGAATGGAGTGTCCATATTCTTACACAACCTTTGAAGTCTCATCTGCAGCCTTTTAGCAGTGCACAATTTAAAAGAACTGCTTCTAAAAGGCATTTCTCCCTGATAACTGGTGTGATAGTTGCTGTGGCTCTGTGGAAGGGAGTTAGGATCTGGAGCAGGACTGCTGTACATTACAACCAGTGACTTCCCAGGAGGAAAACTCTGAAAGTGGAGAAGCAGTCAGTTAGGGAAGGGATGGATCACTCTGTGGATGGCTCTCCCCTCAGTTTTTCACCAGCAGTTTCTGTGATGGGGAAGAGAGAAAGGAGCTCGATCAATCCGCAGTAACACTGGAAGCTTTTGCAGACTTAAGAGCTAGAGTTCCCAAATGTTTGTGAATATAGCAGGCTGGCTGAGGGAGGTGGTGGTGGCTTTCACTTCCAAGGCACTATATTAGTTGTACTCTAGGATCAGCTGTCTAAACAGGCTTAGGTTTAAACTCCACAGTGCCTAGCTGAAATGCTGTGGAGCATAAATCAGTAATTTGTTTTGTTTAGAAATGTTATTCTGGTATCCCAGAACCAATATGTATGTTTTACCAAATCCTTTGCACGCATGGGAATGTCCCATCCTAACACAGCCCCAGCTGAGGAATCGGCCATCTCCCCAAGCTTTTTAAAAGGAACCCTGGTTTGTACGCTCCACACCATCTCTTTTGTGGAGGTAGAGACTTCATAAATGAATAGCTGGAATTGTTCTAGCAAGGCAAAATGAGAAGCTTTCTGTCCTTTTCCTTTCTGCTCAATCTTTAAATAGATGATTTCAGGCTGTAAGATAAGTGAATCCAGACTCCTCTAAATGTCAGCAACAGAAAAAATTCAGAGGTAATTTATATTGATTATTGTTTGCTAGTGGAGAAAGAATTTGGATTTACTGTGCTCTTGTTAAGGATTCTGTTAGCAACATCTAAGAAAAATGGCTTTGAAAAGCTTCTTTTTCTGACTCAAAAAAATAGCCAGGGTGGGAACAATATTGATTTTGTAGTGTTAAATACTAGCATTTATCATCTTTGTCTTTGATTCCTTCTCCATATACTGGTTTCTGCGTAACACATTCAAAGCAATAAATACCTGGGACCATATGATTGTGTAGTATTATGTTTTGTCTTATAGTGTTATACAGAATTAGGCCCCTGTTGCTATTGGTCTTACAAAGGGAGGTGAAGTAATAAATGCATCACTCATTCACTGATAAGAAACGTATCTGTTCAAAATTCTGGATCCAGAACACACACACCTAAAAACACACACAGAGTAAATAGCAGTGCATTTTGGCTCACTTCAATAAAGAGTACACAAAGGCTCTGGAGATTTATCCTGTTTATAGCAGCAGTTGCTGACCCTTTAAATCAACTCTACTGCTTTAAAGGGAATCATAACCATTTGGGATTTAGGAAAAGCAGAGCTTTCCTCAGTCTCGGTTCAGTACTTTACCATCCTCTATCTTTTAAGCTTTCAGTCAATAATGGTCATTTCTGTAGAAAGATGCTCTGAATGTTGCTTCTGGTTTCCAGCAATCAGTCCCACTGTGAAAATATTGGTTAGCTAAATGCCAGGCATTGGTTTTAGCCCCATCTTAGTACAGAGTGAAGATCTAAATGTGACACAGTAACGACCACTGTGTTTATACAACCTGTCTTATATGTAGATATAAAAGATCTCTACAAATCATTGCAAATTTAGCCCCCTTAATGATTTGTGAAATTTTACTGGATCTGGTTTGCAAATTCAGCTCCATATATTTTTGATTCAGTAGTTAGGAAACATTTTGCCCTAGACACTAAAATCTACTAGCTGCTTTATCACTGAAGTGAGCAGAATGCCTTTAAACTTGTTTCTGTAGCCTTTCACCGCTGCCAAGTCCAGTAGTGAGAGTGAGAGATTGTTTCTTGTAAGTCTACTGAAGCTCCATACTAACAATCTCACAAGATAAAAAGTAAACATGGAAAAAACCCAAAAGCCACAATTCAGGACATGGCGCTGAGGGTTCAATATGTGTCCCCTTTACCTCCTGATAAATCAGGATGTACCCCAGTTAGAAGCAGTGCAGCACAGTGATGGGCTAGATGGTTTGTTGCTGGGAATAATAAAGTATTTAAAGAAAAATAAAAAGAATGACACAGGAAAAAAAAAACAAGGTCCTGAAAAGTGGATTAGAGATCCTTTGTCTCTCTACAAAGTAATAGGAAGGGATTTGAAGCTTCCGTAATGCTCTGAAGAGAATACAGCTTTTATGTTTATAAACAATGAACATTTGTATAGCTGTAACAGTGAAATAGGCTGTTGAGAGAATGCTTTTGCACAGAGTGCTGCTCTCACACCTTAGCAAAGGTTTAAATGCCGTGATTATATGCAGATATGTATATAATCCTAAGGAACCTGTGAAACAGGATGCTGGAATAACAGTTTGAGATTTTCAGAAGTGTGCTTCATAGAATCACAGAATGGTTTGCATCAAAAGAGACCTTAAAGCTCACCCAGTTCTGACCCCCTGCACAGGCAGGGACACCTTCCACTAGACCAGGTTGCTCCAAGCCCCATCCAACCTGGCCTTGAACACTGACAGAGATGGGGCAGCCATAGCTTCTCTGAGCACCCTGTGCCAGGGCCTCACCACCCTCACAGGGGAGAACTTCTTTCTCAGAGCTCATCTAAATCTGCCCTTTGTCAGGTTAAAGCCATTTCCCCTTGTCCTATCCCTACAGGCCTTTGTCATAAGTCCCTCTCCAGCTTCTCTGTAGGCCCACTTAAGGTATTTGAAGGCTGCTATAAAGCTGTAAAAATCTATTTCATCTGGTGGTCCCTGACAAAGTTTAGCCCTGGAATGTCACATTTAATGTATGAGGCAGAAATTATCCCCTTTTTCCCATTTACCCAATTGAAATTGCATTTGCAACTTGAGGCTTTTGACTTCATGGGATCATTTCCTTCCCATACTTTTAAATGCCAGTATTTTATGGAATCAGATTTGTTTTGCCCATTGTCTGCTAAACTGCAGTTTTTATTACTGAAGCTAAGTTTAGATTCTAAATATTGCACTCCAGATGTGTTAATCAGAAATCTTTGCAGTCTTAATTGCAGAAATGTTTTCAAGATTCAGTGCATATTAACCGCCAAAACGGTTACCGGATGTTTTTTCCAAATTTCCCTTTTGCAGACTAAATAGAATTTTGGCATTACTAGTAAGCTGCAAAAAGTTTAGTCCCCTAGATAATTCCTTCATGATCCAAGAATCCTTGTGGAAAATAACAGGCTGTGTCCACCTACAGCTTCCATCTTACATCAAACCCTAGAAGGAATCACAGTCCCATATAGGAAGGGACCTCAAGGATCATCTGGTCCAACCTTTCTAGGCAAAGCATGACCTGACTAGATGGCCCAGCATCCTGTGTAGTTGAATCTTAACAGTGCCCATCACTGGGGAGCTCACCACTGGAAAGATACCAATCCAGTTCCATTCTAGCCATTTAGGTATGGGGCAGCAGTTACAAACAGGATATGTTGGAAGTCGGATGCAGAATTGCAGCAAAATACTTGCTGTTAGGAGCTTGAAGGAAACCAAACTCCAGGAAACAAAGGAGTGTGCAGCCAACTTTCTGTTGTTGAAAGGGCATTGATGATAAGTTTGTACATTGTTCTAGCACCAAAACGTATGTTTAGGTGATGGCAGCTAGAAGTTGAGTTGCGTTGATGCTTTTGCTAGGTGATGTGAAATTCAATTAAGAGCCTAATAGTGTGATATCCTCAAGTTCTGAAGTGCTTTGTGGTGCATAAGTGGATAAAAGGCTTAAAAGAAGCATTAGACTTCTCAGCTTTCTGTTTATTTCCATATAGGCACGCTATCTTGGGTTAGATCTACCATGGTAAAATGTAACAAATAAAAGCGAATCTAAAAAGATGAATTACAGCTTTGAGAGACCAGAGGAGCTCCTTATCACAATGTTCTTTCTTAGTTCCTCTTTTGAAAATCAATTATGTTACAGTGAAAAGCAACGTCCTGAGTGGCAGGTTTTTCTGCTAGAAAGGCGTGATGCACACGTCAAGTTATGACACATAGTGAAGAGCATTCTGTTTGCTAATTAGTCCTATCGTGTGGAGTCCCATGACACAACAGTCCCAGAAACGTGTTGCTGAGCCCTGCATATGGGAATTCTGCATTCTGAGCCATGTTGCAACTCCTGGCAGGAGGCAGCAAAGTATGGTGAGATCTTTGATGAGCAGTCCCACCTCCTTTAAAAACCAGCTGACAAAGGAATTACTGTTCCTCTCTTTCACACCCTTTTACCACTTTTTATGTTTTTAGTTGTTCAGTGTGTGATTTCATTATGTTAACATTGCATACACTTGAAGAAAACCGTATTTACTGTTACCTTCAGGCTGGGGAAGGATACATATACCTGCCAAGAAAATACTTGCAAAATATTGCATGAAACTGCTTGGCAGGCTAGTCTATTGAACTTTTTTCTAAGTTGAACCTTGCTTTGCAGAGTAGAAAACAGTGGCAGGAGGAACGAAGCAAAATTCTTCCTCAAAGCACCTTGATAAATAAACTTCCCCACCTCCGTAAAGAAATCTGTTCCACCTGCATGGTTGATAGCACTGTTTGCCAGCTCTGTCACGAGTTGACTTGTCTCATCATTAGTAGTTTCAGCGATAGTTAAGGAAAAACAAGTCAGTCTGTTCTTTCATATGTTTTCTTGGAAGACTTGACTTCGTGTGAACCTGTTACACCAATGAAACTCACTGTAACATACTGCTGAAGGCAAAATTGCCTTGGTACTACTGTGATGCAAGAAACTCAGGCTAAATATCAGTGCCCAGAGCTCTTTGTAGACATGGCAAATAGGAAAAAGTAGCTTATTTTGAATTTGGCAGCTGAGCATTCTGTTCACTCCAGGAAAGTCTAAGCAGGGAGTGTTTGCAGTTCTCTCTAGCTGTACTGCTGTACCAAAGAAGTGAGAGCAAGGACTTGGAGGCACCTGGCCCCATACTCTCACTTCCTTTTCATAACATATGGGGATAGTCATGACTAAATTTGTTGGAAAATCTAGGGGATATGCAGTAAGGGACTCAGTAATGAGATAAAAATAAACTGTAGAATATAATCTCATGTAAATAAACATGCTGAACTACAGAGTAGAGGCGTGAAAAGTTTGTAACGTCTGGATTTTTGTTTTTCTTCCAGCTTATTCAGACAAACAAATTGAAACATTATCCCAGCATCCATGGAGACTTCAGCAATGACTTCAAGCAGCCTTGTGTTGTTTTCACTGGACATCCCTCTCTTAGATTTGGCGATGTGGTTCATTTCATGGAGTTATGGGGGAAATCTAGCTTGAACACTGTTATATTCACAGGTAAGTAAAATGCAGATATCATTACCAAATTAGCAAGAGGTTGTGCACTCCTGTTCAGTGTGACCACATCCTAAGGGCCTTACTCCTTTGTTCTGGGGCAGAAGTTTATGAGTGCAGTAGGAGCTCATCTAAATTAAGACCCCAGGACTGACTGTAGGGAGAAATGTAATTATTGTGCCATTTAATTCATTTTAGCCCTGCAGAGCCAACCTTTGCCATGCAGAGCCCATTCCCGCCATTTCTAAGTAAAATCTCTGTTATGCACAGCAGTAAAATGCCTACAGGAAATTAATTTTTGTACTGAAAGTGGCTGGCTGTAAGTCAAACCCAGGCAAGACCTAATTGGTACTGGTCAGAAAGGAGGAACACTTCTCTATGTTTCATTGGAATCACAAACCTTTCCTCATCCCTCCTCCTGCCCTTTCACCAAAACCTCAGGCAATCAGACTGTCTTATAGCTGTTACCCATCACTCCTGACCTTCAAGGTAGTTTCAAGAGGTATGCCCAATTAAAGTAATTGGTAACATTGCAATATAGATATGCATTGTCTTGGAAATAGGGAATTCTGTTCCAGAATGGAGTGCAGCTGGGACTTCAATTAAAACCAGGGTGTGCACACCCTTTGCTGGGTTTTATATTTCAGGAATCCCTGGGAAATAGGTGGCATTAATCATGTTCTGAATGTACTACCCACCATCAGTGAGGGCGTCAGAAACTGGCCTCCAGTGACAAGAACTATTTTGTGCCTTCTTGTAGGGAGAGGTAATTGACCTTTCCTTCTGAGAAATAAGGAAATAGAGGAGGCTTCTATTAAAACGTGGTTTTGGAAAGTTGTGAAGGCATCTGAATGGCCATCGTAACAGATACATTAGGTCATGGTCTTTTGAGATTCATTCTACTTTATACTTGAAATGAAACTGTAGGTGAGATCTGCTTTGGTTGTGATGACCTTGGAGTGCACAGTGATTCCAGGTGCTTGTGATGGGTTTGCTTCAAGTTCATCTATCCATGGCTTTTGGACTCTGTGTGTAGGCGTACCCACTGGTTTAGCAGTGGACTTGGCAGTGTTTGGTGTATGATTGGACTCGATGATCTTAAGGCTCTTTTCCAATCTAAATGATTGTGATTAATGTCTACAGAAATTCCTAAGAGATTGAATTCTTCTGTTCTCAGTAACTCCAGTGGAAATCTGAAGCACCTCCATCAATGTCCAGGATTTATTTCATTTAATTGTGTAGCTTCTCCTGTTTTAAGATAAAATCTCTTGTAATTATGAAAGAACTGTGGTCCATTGAAGCAGTGTGTGATAGCAGATGACCTGGCTTTTCCTGTGAAAGACTCCTAGCTTCCAGTAATTAAGACCTTTAAACTACAGGCCATCCAGTGTTGTTAATGATGACACTGCTTGTTCAGTCTGCAGGTGATAGGTAGTCTCCACCTTTCCAATTTGTAACGTAAAAAGCTACTATGAGAGAATATAGACTAAAACAGCAGCTGCAGCCAATAGACAGGACACCAGCTGTGAGCAAGCCCTAGTGCTGCTCTGCTTGCTTGTGTTATCTGCAAATGTTACTGCTGAAGCAGTAGTGAATAGATTATTGATTAAAAATATTGAATGCCACTAAGCCACAAAGAAATTCTAGAAGAAAACACAGTAAAAGGAAGTCTGCTTCTTGCTGTCTCTCCAGTTACAACAGTGCTGTAAAAACTAACTCCCTAGGAGATCTTAAAAACAGCTCATGCGTGCCACATCAGTGCAGTACAGTGGAAGATTTTATAACACAGTAGTAAATCAGATGTCTTGGTGGGTGGGGAAGCTAAATACCTGTAATTCTGTCAGAAAAAGTCAGTATGTGTTCTTGACAAGCTCTGTCTTCCATCAAACAGGTGAGTTTTGGTTTCTTGGTAGTTTCAGATCAGCTATTCCTTCTATGTCTCCTGAGCTCATTGTGAGACTAGCTCAAGTTATGTTTTTAGGAAGTTCGAAATCTTCAGAATCCTCGGTTAGAATTCCTTCACTAGAATTTCTCACTTTTCCAAGGCTTTTACATTCTTAATAGTTGTTCAGAGACACTACAGACTGGATGCCATTTTGGATTTTTAGATCAAAAAATCCATGTCTGTACATTATCTGAGCCTAAAGATTCACAATACTTAGTCTGAATAGACTAAGTGGCATTATCAGGTACAAGCAGTCAAACCCCTGTACCATCCACAATACCAGAGAGGCTGGAAAACCTCTCTTCTAATGACTTTTTAAACTTACTATTTGTAATTTCATTGTACATCTCTAGCAGAGGACCTCCCATGTCTGACTTAAGTTTTCTGGCTTTCCCCAGTAAGTTTTAAAGTATCTTCTGATTTAACCTTAATTGACCACTGACCATTCTTCAGTGAACACCTTCTCAGTAGTCTTCTATTTAAGCTTCTATTCATTGCAGTTAAACTATACTGCCATTAGCTCCCATTTTCTACATCAATTATTTTTAGGCTTTGTTTCACTGCCACTAACACATCTGCTTTTAACTAGCATGGCTTTTTTCCCAGTATAATTTTTGTTTCATGTTTGTGGATTCATGGCTTTTGGAGAGTCTAGTAAGATGTTCTTGTACAACTATCATTTCTTGTTAATATTTCTCACTTTGATGTTCCCAGGCAGTTATTCTGACAGTTGCTTTAAACTTGGGAAAATTATCCCTTTGACAGTTCCAAACCTATGTATCATTGAGTGATGCTATATTCTGTTCTCACAGGGTAAATATAACCACATCATGATCGCTGGGACTTAGCCAGCGGCAGATTTTTAGCCTAGCAATTAACTTGTCTTTATCAGTAGAATGAGGCCCAATATTGAATGTTGGATGCTGTGCTGGGTGCTGAACTTCCTGTGGTAAAGTTTTAAAGGCACTTTTTCTTGCTGTCTACATGAGAAATCCAGGCAGTGCTCTCATTAGGGTGATGTAAAACTACAGAAGATAGCTGTCTAAATCTGTACTGAAGTCTCTGTATTTTGAGACAAAGGGGCACAAAATCACAAAATGGGATATAGAAACTTTTATAAGAAGTTTTAAGTAATGTTAAGTTTGATGGCTTTGTAACAGTAGCAATGGAAAATTACTGAGGTGCAGGATACATAGAGAAAAAAAACAGAGTACAACTAGAGAACATACTAAGAATTCTCACAAGATAAATCGTTATAGTTGGCCTAGTTTTAAGAAAAACAGTCTAGAAGAACAGGACACAGGGATAAGGAGTATCTGGGAATGGCAGGTGTCCAGGATGGGCTACAGTTAAACTAACTGATAAGTAGGAGGATAGGAGGATTATTATGTCTCTGGTGCTAACGAACCAATTAAACTGGTATGAGCATCTACTGCGCGTGCTTCAAAGGCTGCCAGAAGTGATGAAGATTGTTGGAAGAAGTAACCGACCCTCAGAGACCACCACCACAATTCTGTACGCATGCGGGGAACTCTCTGGAAAATGATGTAATCCATATGTAGCCTCATGAATATGTATGTATGTCCAGTGACTATATAAGGGTGGCTTGTATAGCAGTACGGGGACACACGTTAGGAGGATTTATCCCCCGTGTCTCCCGGCGCCGCAATAAAGAATACCTGCTTGTCAGCTTGAAAACTTTGTTGGCAAGTTTGTTCCTGGAGTTTTCTCCGAATCAATTTGGCGACCCAGATGGGACCCTCTCTGCTCGGCTGCAGGACCCGCTGAGGACAGGGCTCCCTAGGGCCCTCGGGAATTTTTCCCGGAGGGACCCCTCGACTCATTCGGATCGCTGCGGGAGCAGACAAGGACCATCTCATAAAAGGTATTCTTTTTTTGTATAGTCTGTAAGGTGCAGGGGGCACCTCGGTTTGGTAAATTGGTTTAGTAAATTGGTTTGGTAAATTGGTTTGGTAAATTGGTTTGGTAAATTGGCTTGGTAAGCGTACGCATGGTTTGGAAGCCTTCCGTAAATCGAGATAAGAAATCTCGTAGGTAAAGGCGTATACCCGGCTGCTAGCGTCCGTTCGGTATACACCCACAAGAAGCAGGGGGCTTCTTGTGGTTTGGGTCCTGCAAGACGCAGGGGGTGTCTTGCAGAAAAAGGTTTTGGATTTTACTGGTATACACCCAAAGGAAGCAGGGGGCTTCTTGTGGTTTGGGTCTTGCAAGACGCAGGGGGTGTCTTGCAGAAAAAGGTTTTGGATTTTACTGGTATACACCCAAAGGAAGCAGGGGGCTTCTTGTGGTTTGGGTCTTGCAAGACGCAGGGGGTGTCTTGCAGAAAAAGGTTTTGGAGGGCTTGTATAGCAGTACGGGGACACACGTTAGGAGGATTTATCCCCCGTGTCTCCCGGCGCCGCAATAAAGAATACCTGCTTGTCAGCTTGAAAACTTTGTTGGCAAGTTTGTTCCTGGAGTTTTCTCCGAATCAATTTAAATGTCCTTTTTCTTCGTCCTTTTGAGCAGCCTGAGCAGATACCAGAGAAATACTTCATACTGTTTTCTAGCAAGGCTTGGTGCTTTGCAACTGTGCTTTGCTCTGCAGGTTGCCCTTTGAGACCCTGAGGTATGGAATAGTCTAGTAGATAAGTCTTTCATGTATCTAGTAGATAAGTCTTTCTCATTCTGTACTATCCAGGCTAATTCCAGTCTTTCTGTAGCATTCCCTTTATGTGATCTATCCTACAATTACCAGGTAAATAGTGATGGCATAAGTTTTTCCAGACCATTAGTGGACCCCAGAATCAAGTGGCTACATGTATCTTACACTGCATCACCTATGAGACCTACGTTTTCCTTCACCAAAAAAAAATAGTGTTTCTCTGTAGTATTCTCAGTGTTGTATTACTCTCTGTGTAAGTAAAAGCCCATTCAATGCATGACTTTTCCCTGGCAAACCTCTAATCTGATTTTTTAAAAGTCAGTAATAAAAGTACAAACAGAAGTTGAGACTTGGTAGGTCTAATAAAGATAACAGCTAATAAAAGCCTTATCTCCTTCTGAATAGCCCCTACGAAAGACAACCTTCACCTCATACCAGCCTGAACTAGACCTGCTCTGCTGGCATGATTGTAAAAACCTCAGTTGCCTGTCCTTCGACAGGAGGGCTCCCTGCAGATTCTCTAGGGTTATGTTAACATTTGGACTTTTGGACCCTTGTTTTTCCACATGTTTAAACCTGCACTTTGTTCAGAAATAAATAAAAAAATATGCATATATGTTGTAAGGGAGAAAAGGAATTGGGAGGCAATGTGCCTGCAGCAGAGAACATCGGTATACCTTCATCAAGATATGATCTTTACACTGCTTTTTTGTCACTGTGAAAAACAAGCTGACGTTTGTGTTACCTTATGATACCCAAAATATCTATATCTTGCCTTCTTTTACAAGATCTGATTAAAAATAAGAGGTGATGGTTTTGTCTTCATTAAATTTGTTATAAAAATCATGCAATAATGTGTTCAAATGTATTGCTCTGTTGCTTGATTAAGGTAAGACTAATTGTGGGCATAATTTTCATCAAATTAACTGAAAATAACGGGTGGGAGAAGGAAGAAGGGAAGAGAAATCTGAAGCAGAATTAACATTGCGGAACAACAGTTTGTCTAGACTAGAATGCGGAATCAGAGAGGCACTGGGCTATCTTTGTTTTTAATAGGCATTCAGTGTTTTCAACATTTCTCTTTTCAGAACCTGATTTCTCTTACCTGGATGCCCTGGCTCCTTACCAACCTTTGGCGATGAAATGTGTTTACTGTCCCATTGACACAAGACTGAATTTTATTCAGGTGTCTAAATTACTCAAAGAAGTTCAGGTAATTAATTTTCTGTTGCCTTTTCTTATGTTTCTTCACACAAACAGGTCAGTTATGAACAACTCTCACATTAAACAACAACAAAATCCAGACAACAGCCAGATTCTTTTTTCCATGAGAGAGCACATGGCTTTGAGCTCTCCTTTATCGTCCTGCTCCAAAATGAGCATGACATGACTGCCAATCTGCACAGAGTGGCTAGAAGATCCCAAAAAACTTAAAGTGCAGGGCAGATGGTGTGTAGATGCCTTTCTTCCTTTTTAGGTATATGTAGTCATAATAACTTTTTTCCCTTGATTCTTTTTCTTGTTTGTTGAATAGGCCTGGCTGTGTCTAATATAAAGGGTACTGAGTGCTGAGTATTCTCAACACCCTCAGCTTTAACCATCTCCTCTGCTCTTTATCCTGCAGTTACTACTTGCTTTGGTCCTGGCACTGCTGCTCCGGAGTTTCACTCTCGCATTTCTTCCAAATCCACTACTTTCCTTTCTCCACTGGCAAAATCCAGACTACTATCTAGGAAGAAGACCAGAGCATTCGTGTAGTCTGTGCTCTTCCCCTTTGCCTCTTTTTTTGGTGGCTTCTACTTGACCGTGCAGTTTGTTTCTACTGAAATAACGCTTTCTGACTCATGACATATAATACCCATTTTTTTTCTGGCTGAGCTTTTCCCTTCATTCTATCTTCAACTTGTTGAACACAAAAATACATATTCTTCCAAATCGTTTAACAATGTGTGGATCACTGTATCTTACTGTTCTGTGACCTGGCTTGTCATCACACAACTGATAGCAATTGCCACTTGCCTATTTTTTGGACAAGCATCTCTTTCCATGTTACTACTGAAGTATAATGCTGTTTCCAAAACAGTCTGCAGAAACACTGTCTTGTCTTTTGGCTTCCTTATATACTGCAGTGATCCTTGTGGCAGCCAGCCTATTTATGCTTTGTTAATATACTGCTGACAGGTCATGAAAACTCGGAGTTTATTGTGCTTTTGCAGCCTTGCATATTGATACATCTGCCTCACTCCATGCCATTGTATGATGGTCTTTGCCTCTACTGTCATTTTCTCCCAGTATAGATGACAAGAATTTGGAAGAAAAAGCTATTGAATATTCTTTCTTTTCTCCCTATGGCAGTTAACAAGACTACTGATACTGAAGTGGTGATTATACAAATGTAGGCCTTGTTACTTTGGACACTGTTGTATACAAAGCAAAGACTGGCTGCCCCTTAACAGCTTGTTCCAATACCGACTGGATCTTCTGGGTTGCATCCTTTGCATGTTTTTTTCATACAGACAAGCTAGCTTGCTAACAGCAACCTGCAGACCTCCATATGGTAATAATTACTGCTGTAGGGCAGCACACAGAACCAGCCACGCATTTTTGTAAGTCACCACATTCTTTTCCAGCCTCTCCATGTCGTTTGCCCGGAGCAGTACACTCAGCCACCACCCACCCAGTCTCATCGCACAGATCTGATGATAGACTGTCAGCCTCCACCAATGTCCTACCGCAGAGCAGAGGTGCTGACCCTTCCATACAAGCGGCGCTATGAGAAGATTGAAATCATGCCAGAAGTAAGTAGCAAAAGTGGGGAAAAGATGGTGGCTTCTTGCTCATACAACTGAATACAAGCTCTTGCTTCAGTAGCTCCTTTGACTGATATCTTGGGCCTGTGATTTACTGTTGATTAGGATTACATAAAGCACTTCCTATCAAATGGATGGCTAAGAAAGAAGCATTTCTGAGGGTGAATTTCACTGTGTGAACTAAAGGAGAATTGTGGGCAAGCAAAAATACATTCAGGTTAATTGTCCTGTGGAAGGAGATACCACATCTCTCCTATGGAGACAGGCTGAGAGAGCTGGGCTTGTTCAACCTGGAGAAGGGAAGGCTCCAGGGAGACCTTAGAGCAGCTTCCAGTGCCTAAAGGGGCCAACAAGAAAGCTGGAGAGGGGCTTTTGACAGGGCCTGTAGGGATAGGACAAGGGGAAATGGCTTTAAATTGAAAGAGGGCAGATATAGATGAGATCTTAGGAAGAAGTTCTTGCCTGTGAGGGTGGTAAAGCCCCAGCACAGGTTGCACTGAGAAGCTGTGGCTGCCTCATCTCTGGCAGTGTTGAAGGCCAGGCTGGATGGGGGATTGAACAACCTTGTCTAGTGGAAGGTTTCCCTGCCCGGGACAGGGGGTTGGAACTAAGTGGTCTTCTGACCCAAAGTATTCAGTGATTCTTTGATACAAAACAAAGTGCAATCTCTGCTAGCCATCTGTGAGGCAAGCCAGTCATCTCCAGTCTAAATATGAGTAAGTTGTGGCACTGCAGTTTGAATTAGTGGCCCAGGGCCGTGGAAGGGATCCCAAGAATCTGAGAGTTTGTAGCCAGGAGTTGGAGTCCTTCCCTAGCTGTACCTACCATGAGAAATACCTTTTCCCCTGAGGAGCAGTATTCGGTCATATGTTAAAGGCAGTAGTGAGATGACTCTTTTGTATTATAGCAGTTCCAATAAACAGTTAATTCCTACAGTCTGCTGAAGTCCAGTAGGTTAATTGGTTGCTTGTAGCCCTCTGTACTGTGGACTGCTTATTCCTGCAACATTTATTAATAATTTATTAACCCCATAAATCAAACGTACATGTGTCCATAATACAAAGGGTAACCCATCTTCTAACAGACATGATCTTAAAATATGTTTTTGACAATCCAATCGGCACAAATGCTTCCTTGGATTGAAGGTCACAATGACATTTTACAAACAGGCATTACTGCCATTTGGAAACTTGAATATGTAAGTCTACTTTTCATCAGAGAGTAGAGGAAGTGCACTTAGTTAAGCCAAACATCGATATAGAACTGGTACTCCCTTAATGACATCCCTCAGCCAGTCTTCAACACCCATTCCTACCATTTCACGTGTGTCTGCTTTGTACATCGCTTCTGTAAGGAGCCTTCCCAGCCCAGTAGTTAGAGGACTGCCAGAAACAAGGAGGGATTATTTAATTAGAAAATATACTTGGATGCAACTCCATCATGGCATGTATACTTAACTGCTTTGGAAATTTGCATTCACCAGTGTGACCAAAGCAAATCTTACATTCTGAGTGCAGAGAGCCAGCACATGGCTTACCTATTATTTAGATTCCACTGAAGCTTTGGGTTGTCCCCTGAACTGTGAGGGTGAGTGAGCTTTTGTATGTGAGCCTATCCCTGGTGTCAGCCCTGTGAAGAGGGTGAGTACCAGCTTTCCCTGCAAACAGAATGCAAATTAGCACAAATGCTACAGATGAATATTCACCAACCCTCAGACATTTTGAAGTTCCTATCAAGGGGGAGGGGTGTCTAAAAGCATAGCTGGTCTGGGAATGGCAGGTTCAGTTTCTTGCTCTGTCAGTCTTCCTGTGTGATCAGCACAAAGTCTAAACAACAAAATGCAGCTGACATTGGAAAGGACACCAAAGGCTGCATAGTTCCTTGGCAAAGCTTATTAATCCAAAGGCTCATGTGGCTAGACTGCATCAGGAAACAAGTCAGTGTTTCTCTTGTTGGCTTGGCTGTTGGCAGCAAGATCCCTTACACTTGAGGCTCAAGAGGCCATGTGGATCCAGTCTCGTTGGCAGCTATTAATGTGAAAATACTCTCCAGTTTCAGTCTCCAGTAGTTTTTAGGTGCTGTCACCAAAATGAATGGATTCCCCCTGTACCGCTAGGTGAAAGCAGTGCACAGAAATAAGAGCACTTCCCAAAACTGCCAGGATGTTGGAGGAAGAGTGCACTGTAGACAATGTTATAGACTATGTTACATTCACCAACCTGGGAACTGGCAGCAAAGAAGCATGCAGAAGATGAGAGCTGGTTTCTATTGCATTCATTCTTAACTTGGAGAGTTCAAGCAGAAAGCTGCAGACAGGAATGTTGACAGAAGTGTCCTTTTTTCCCTCTAACAAAGAACATCAAATTCTGTTCACCCAGGAGTCCTAATTTCTGTGCTCAGGGAGTAGAAACATTAAGTGATTTTCCACATCCGGGTATTCTCTCTGGTTCCAAAGCTGAACTTACCAACTTGTTACAAAAAGCTATGTCGTATGTAGTGACACTACTGAAAAGATTTTTTAATATACAAAAAATTAGGTATACTAGATAATCTCTGAGACTTTCAGGAAAGCTTTTGTCCTTCCCTGCTGGTGTTAGGTGTATGGCTTTTCCTTGCCTCCGGGAGTTCTTTGGGAGTTAGACCTTGCTAGAGGTTAGGAACTTGCTGGAGGAATAACAATTCCAACTTTGTAGTGATCACAGACTGTCTCCAGGACAATCTCTATTTCAGCATGTCTTCACCACATCACTGTGGGAGGCCAGTTTTTGCTTCCAGTTTGACCTGCAGAGCGGTTATAAAGCATGGGAGGGATGTTACATTGTCTCCCACTCTCTGTGACTTTGGTCTTTGAGTCTAAGCAGCGTAGTGTCACTATGTTATCTCTCCTACTCTGTGTAACCAGTTACAACAGCCAATCCCAAAGGATCATTGTTTGGTTTTGAAATAAATGGGAGCAGATGCTTGTAGTTCCTTTGATGCTAAACTCCCTTAAATAAGCACCTTACCTCCTGTCGTGGTCTAATAATTTTTATGTGCCATCTGCATGGATTGCGTCATTCACTTCCCCAGCAGAAGAGCCCTGTCTGTCTGTCCTGTTGTGCAGAGAGGTAATGAGGACATTGGTTTTTGGAGGCTGATGCAAATGGTTGGTGTCAGGCAGGGCTTTCACAGTGGTGGCAAAAAATGGTTGTACCTTTCCCTTCTGCTGGGTCTGTTGTGCAGTACAGGATTGCAGGTATGATTGATGAGGCTCACTGGTGGGGAATATTTGTTGCCTAATGTCTCCTTTTCAGTAATCTCATTCAACACCTGAATATATAGGAATTTTTATACTGCAAGAAAAGGGCATTTGTTTCACATGGACTACCGCTAGCTCTGGAGTGCTGTGAAGGCTCAAGTGGCAATTGGAAAGGGTGTTTCATAGCTCCTAGCAAACCTTGCAAAGGCTTCTTATTTGTCAAAACCATGTTAGCCAAAAACGCAATGATGAAATTTACCCTGGGAGAAAAAGTAATTGCTACATGAGCTGCAGGGCTAAGACTTGTGTCTAAAGTACAGCTAAAAGCCTCATAAATGAATGTCTGCTTCAATAAAGCCCTGATCAGGGCCCTGTCCTAACACCCACAGCCCTTTCTTAGGCATGGACATGTGCTCAAACTGCTGTCTGTCTTAAAGCTTTTGAAACTCAGTTGTCTCAGTGTGGTTTCAGTCAGTACAGACTGATGGTATGATAGTGTGAAAGTTCCTTTCCAAAACTCTTACAGTGGTTCAGATTCTGGCCTCTCAGACTACGGTAAATTTATATTGCTGGAGCTTGTCTACATTTCAATCACTTCACCGAAGAGCAAAGTCAGGTCAAGCAGGACTGTTGTATGTTAATGAGATTTACACTTGGAGCAGCTTTTGTTTAGAGAGAGGTTTTAACAGTCCCGAGGCACCAGGCTGGAAAGGCTCTCAGAGGGATTGTGGGAACCTTTACACTTTAACTAATTTGTTCTTCTTGGCATCTGCTTTTCACTTTAAAAAATAATAAAGAAAAAGACTGCTTCCTGGAAATTGGCTAGGCATTGTCTAATCACAGGAGAATGATGGGAAAATGGAAAACACCTTCTGGAGCAAACAGATAAATTAAACAGTAGTGTTTGAGCAAATAATGTGCCTCCAGTTTAATTACAGCTGAACAATGGTGCGGATCACTTGATTTCACCAGCAGACTGACTTCAGTGAGGGCTTTGTGGTTTAAAATACTCTATTTGCAAGTTCCTTAGAACACAGGCCAGTATAGAAGAGTGTGAATGTGCAATGCACAGCCTGTCATGAAAGTGAAATTATAAAGAGCTATTGCAGAGAAGAACTGGCAGCCCATTATAATGATGTGGCTTTCACGCCACCCCACCTTTCTCCTGTCCTGACTTATCTTTCTACATTGAATCTTGCCAGTCCCTCTTTTGAGAGAAAGAAAGGCAAAACACAGCTTTCGTCTTGCCCCTCCAACTTCCTTCATGTTTCAGGGACTGAAGACTTTTAATTTTTGTCTTTCTTCTAATGCTCAACTTATTTTGGTGATCCCACATTATCCAGTCTCCTGATCTCTCTGTTCCTTTTCCCCTGACTATTCCCCCTTGTATAAAGATTCCATAGTCTTATTATAAAGTAAATGAAATGTAACCCACCTGCTTGCTTCTACTTCTATCATTCCTCCTTTCAGCTCCCTGCTCACTGAATCCACTGACTGTAAAGTTGCCTAGAATCCCTCTCTCATTCTTGAGTTTGACTTCACCTTTTGACATTCTACCAAAACTACTCTTGTCCCAGCTTTTACTATCCATTTCTCAAACGCAGCCTTAGCAACTGAAGTCTGCTGTCTTCTGCTTTATGTCATTGGTGTTCAATGCAGTCAGCTGTTCTGTTCTTCTTAAAAATGGCTCCCACCTCACTCCAGTGTCTCTTCTGCCTGGTCATTCAGCCTCCCGTGCTTCTGCAGAGAATTCTCCTCCTTCCTCCCCTCTTTTGTTTGTTTTGAATGTGCTACCCTTCATTTCCTTTACTTTTTTTTTTGCATTTTGTTGTTGTTTCTTCTGTACCTTTTTTCTGATTGGTCTTACCCACATGTTGCCCTGTTTAGATTGATGAAAATCAAGTCTGCGTTTCTGCTCCGAACCTGCATTTGCCTGCCCATATAACTGTCTAGGTTTGTTTCTCCCTTACTTTTAATGGCTGACTGTAAGATAACCCTCTTTTCTAGCCACACACCTCTCCCCAGTCAGCTTCAACAGTATCACATTCTGACTTGACATTCTGACTCATAAACTGGTTACTATCTTTTTTTTAATATTGTGGTTGATGCCCTTTTCATATCTTTCACATTACTGATCTTTTGCATCTGTAAGCTGCTTGCCTGTACTTTGAAGATGTTTATGTCCTTGCTTCCCCTACCTGTCATTCAAGTTTGAGGCTTATTTCTGCTTCAGCTGGTTCTGCCTTCCACCGTCCTCTCGTACATTCCTCAAACAACTGTTTCCTGCCTGCTCCCAGGATGTGCAGCACACTGGGGAAGAGCTTCATTAAACAGCCATAAATCTACTTCATTACACTTCTTAAATACCTTTGTAAAACTGTCTCTTGGCATGGGACTGGCAAAAAGCCATTTTTTTAGCTTTAGTACTGAGACTACTGCTTATGTTCCCACCCAGGATTATTTCTTGTTGGTTGGTCAGTACGTATATTTCTGTTTGGATTTCCAGGCTTCAGCACATTGACCAGGAGCCCTGGTTTATTAGTTGAACATGGAACATGTACATAAAAAAAGAGAGGTTTATTTTGTTGCTCAAAACTGCAGAACTACCCCTTCAGCTTGTTTTATTTCTCCACTGGATATTGGCTCTATGGAAGAGTAAAGCTAAGATGTAGGCATTTGCAGCAATAGTATGAAAACTTCAGATATTTATGGCATGATTCTTCATCCACTGAAGTTAATGAGAATGTAAAATCTGCTCCAGAGAGAATTATAGCAGACCTACAGAGACTGAAAGATCTATTAAGTTAGGGTTAGTTTAGCAACTTAATCATCCCATTTAAAACACTTGGATTCTGTAAAGTCTGAGGCTGGAGCTCCAACAAGACATGACTCGGATCACCCACTGATGATTATATAGATGCCCTTAGTTCTCAGATGTTTATTCCTCTCTGTTGGAAATGCCCTTGTTCCTTTAAGTCTCATTACAAAATTTCCTCAAATTCGTTGTACTGCACAGTAGCCTGTAGCAAACTTGTGCCTTGTTTAATGTGCTTGCTGGTCATGAATGCTTACTCCACAGGCATATTTAAATCTTTAGACTTTTCCCCTTCAGTGCATGTGTTTGACTACATATCTGTTTGTTTGCTCTGCAGGATCTGATACTTGCAGACTTTCTGCACTCAGACTCTGCCTGATTTAGCAGATGGTATAAAGCCAAAGCTGAATCTGTTTGAGAGTTCTGCCCACACCATAACCTCTTGTGCATTTCCGTGTGTGGTTTCAAGTGACAACATAGCTTCTGATGCTTAAATAGCGAAGGGATAAGAAGAGGCAGGGAGGTAGGAGGTGAGGTAAATTGCCTTCCTTTCCTAACATTGCTATCCAAATATAGTGACAGGATGAAGAGCATGTATTTTCTTCTGTTTATAAGACTGACTATGCAGGTCAACCCTGCTTGTGAAAGGGCTGTTTCACAGCTTTTATGTGGAATATTTGGTCACTCTTTTCCTATTAAAGGTAAACTGGGAAGATGCTTTTCTGCATTCAGAAACTGGATTTGATGTGTGTGAGGAGCAAGGTGAGTGGAGAGATGGAGGATGAGGCAGGTTGTTCTCTGTTCAGATTTTGCTGAGGACTACTTACTGTAAAATCCTCTGTGAAACTGTTCCCTGGGCCCTGGTGGACTCCTGCTGAAGGCAGGCAGATCTCAAAGTCTTTGGGCTTTTTCTCTAATAAATGGGAGAGAATATTTTTCTGTTGCATACAAATTGCATCTATTTTTAAGGGCTAGGATCTGGCTGAGAGTCTCTCCATACCTGGCAAGCTACAAGGCTGTAAACAATGATTTCACCTGGAAATGGAAGTGCCCTCATGGGTTACCTATCCAGAACCCAGGTGCAGTTAGTAATAGTGTTTATAATGTGCCTCAAAAACTGTTAGGCACCAGCTTCAAATTACGAAGACTTTTGCCCCTGCTGTTCCCATTAGAACGCTGTTCAAACCCCCACTGTCTCTGATGGCTAGAAACATCCTAATTTCCCACTTACACTTATTCATGGCTGTTCTGCACATACTTATCTTAACATCATGTTTTATCATAAATAGATTTTCCCTTTTGTTGGTATTTTCCCTGTGGTGTTTACATAATCAAATTCTCCTTTTTGCTCTCTTTTTACCAGGCTAAACAAGCAAAGATATTTAGTTTCCCCTTACAAGACAGCTTTTCCTGCCCTAATCTACCCTTCAGAATATCTTACTTGAACTTAAATTACCCACAATTTACCGTAGTTCAGATGAGATCTTCCTGGGCCCCATATAATAGCAGTAGCTCATCTCTGCTAGAATTACCTGGTATTTTCTGGAGCTGCATTTAGCTTTTTCATGGCTGTGTCACATTTGTGACTCTCAGTACTCATGGGATGACCTAATACCCCTGGACTCTTCACCTCTGTCATTTCCAGGAGCTGCCAGTTCACAGCAGAAATTCTCAGTATTAACCCAGTCCCTGGCCTTGTATTTCACATTATTGAATTTTGTCTTGGCTTTCTCACTCCAGTTCTTGAGGTCATCTAGTTCTTCCTGTATGATAGTCTGATCTTTCTTTCTATTGAGGGTGCCTCTACAAACTTCAGTGAGGCCTTCTGAACACTCTCTTCATTCTGTACTGAGTCAGTTATAAAAACTGTATGGGAGTAGGCTCAAGACAGACTCTTTAGGGGTCAGTCTGGGAATATCTTTGCTTTAGCCAGTGCTTTCCCCACCTCAGGGCTGCTGTGCAAATCCAGTTTGTAATTTCCCATGTGGTACCTTGGTAGTGCTTCATATAGCACATGCTGGGGCTGCCCCAATTCCCTCAGTAGTTGTCTTAGCAGAGGAAGCTCTTGTGTTAGTCCCATCTGATCAACTATTGATGGTATTTAAATTTTCTTCTTCATTTGCTTTATTGTACTTATATGTACTTGTACAGTACAGTAGCATTAGCAATGGACCCCTCTAGTCTAATTTCTGAGTTCTACATATTGCTCAAGCACTGAACAGAACTGGTCCTTCCTACAGTGAATGAATTACAAGTCTATTTTCTCTAAGGACTTGCAATGGATTGAGTTAATAATGGGTCTATTCTGCCCAGTGGTTTCACATCTCTGTTTCATGTCTTTGATTTCTCTGGTTTGATCCAGAATTGCAACTCTGGCTTCTACCTCTAAGGCAGAGTTCATACATTTATGCACAGTGTGAAGATATGGAAAATACACATTCAATGTTGATGTAAAAACCCAGCTGTGTCCATTTCTAAATATGCATCCTATAACCTAGTGTATACATCAGTGAATTTCAGATCTTAAAGGTTAAGGAGATTTTAATTACTGCTAAACTTTGCTGTGCTACTGCCTGTTCCTCTTTGCTCCAGTCCTAGAGAGTGAAGGTCCAGCTCACTTCACTCAGCTCAGGCTTTGCTTCTCCTTGCTGGGTCAGACTTCCTACCGTAATGCTATTGCACTGGTGTATGTCTGTCCCTGGGAAAATCATCCACAAGACCAAGACCATGGGTGGTAAAATTCCAGTCCTCTCCTGATTTTATTCACTGATTATTCAGCCTCAGGGTTGGTTTTTTTTTCTCTCCAAGAGTTTCAGATCCTATCCTCAGTTATTGTTCATCTCTTAATTACCAATGAGAGGATTTGGGGCTGGTGACTGAAGACAGCATGTGACCATAAGCCTACGGAGAATTGTCCCTTGTGAAGCCTGAGTGGAGACTTCAGAGAAACCTAACACTTGTACTTTGTTCTTCTTTATAAATAATTATAGTTTGGTGAACAGAAGTGTTTGGCCTCACATAGAATCATAGAATAGTTAGGGTTGGAAAGGACCTTAAGATCATCAAGTTCCAACCCCCCTGCCATGGGCAGGGACATCTCACTCTAAACCATATTACCCAAGGCCTCGTCCAACCTGGCCTTGAACCCTGCCAGGGATGGAGCATTCACAACCTCCCTGGACAATCTATTCCAGTGCCTCACTACCCTAACAGGAAAGAATTTCCTCTTTATATCCAATCTAAACTTCCCCTGTTTAAGTTTTAACCCGTTACCCCTTGTCCTGCCACTACAGTCTCTAATGAAGAGTCCGTCCCCAGCATCCCTAGAGGCCCCCTTCAGATGCTGGAAGGCTGCTATGAGGTCTCCACGCAGCCTTCTCTTCTCCAGGCTGAACAGCCCCAACTTTCTCAGCCGATCTTCATATGGGAGGTGCTCCAGTCCCCTGATCATTCTTGTGGCCTCCTCTGGACTTGTTCCAACAGTTCCATGTCCTTTTTTATGTTGAGGACACCAACCAAAACTTCCCCTGTTTAAGTTTTAACCCATTACCCCTTGTCCTACCACTACAGTCTCTAATGAAGAGTCCAGTATGTGTCAGATCTCGTTTTGTTGTGTAAAATGCAATCCTAGGCAAAAGATTCAACTGCAGTTTACATTAAAAATGTCTTGGCTTTGTAAGAGCATAGATGGACAGCGCTGATCACAGGAGCAGCACATCCCAAGCTGAGTCTTCTCTCCCTTAGCTGTTACAAGGTTCACATCAACACTTGCAGTTTCAGACTACTGAGAGTCAATGACTTAGATTTTGGTTGGTCTCTGCTTTAAACTTCCCTTAACAGGAGGGATTGAAAAAATGAACAGTACACATACACAGACAAGTTGGTCTTAAGGCAGTCCAAGGGCCCAAGGGCAGGGGACTGATTAATGTGATGTTAGTTCTCAGTGCTGTGTGTTTCTGCTTTCGTGACTTCTCATGCCAGCATGTGGCATTAGACTTGTGATAATGACTGGAAGGAAGACACATTTATTCTTGCATAGTGGGGGGCTTTTCAGTCTCACAGGCAAAGGCATAACAAGATCCAGAAACCGAAAGTTGGACAAATTCAGCCTTGAAATAAGACACAGTTTCCTAGCTGCAGGGAAAATTGAGGTTTGGAACAGCTTGTGACGGGAAATGGTGGAGTTGCCATTGCTTGGAGTATAGACAAGATTTTCTGTCTTTCTGAAAAGAGTTTCTTTATCCAGCATTTTGGAAGAGTTCTGTGATCTGTGTGTGTAGGAGGTCAGTTGAAGGGAGTATATCACTGCTGTCTGGTCTTGGTGGGTGAATTACTGGATATGATTAAATGACCTTTCTGGTTTGGGTCAGTGAACTTCTATAATAAGAGGATTGGCCGCAACATGGAGAGGGCTGTGAGACAAAGCAATATCTTAGAGAAAATAAAGATTAACATCTGCCTTATTGTCTGTTTGACTTTTAATAATTAAAGTATTGCTGTTCACCAGCTGTGTGGTTAAAAGCTATATAAATGTTAATAACAAAAGTATTTCAGTAGCAGAAGAGGACTTGGATTCTAAGCAGAGCCATGTTTGTTAAGGATCTTTCTCTTGACAGTGTTTGTCATTGTGCCATGTATTCTTCATTAGACCCCGCTTTGTATTGATCCTCCTCTGGAAGGTGGTGGGAATGGAAAGTGCCTTCGACCACTGCAAAGTGCAGCATAACACACTGCTGCAAGTGTTACTATTTTTAGGTCCCAGGGGAAATCTGAAGCAATGATTATCATTATATTTTCATTCTCTTAGCCTTCAACAACAAATTGTAAAGGCTGTATTCAAACTGCTGGCTTTAAAGATCTTGAAGAGAGTTCCAGAGAGACAGCAATGTGAATTACTCCGTGAAATTTTGATTTCTCAGATCCACCAAGTCTGAATATGTGCAACATTTAGGGGATTTAAATGCAGCCCTAAAATGTCTGTGTGTTTCCAACACAATCATCTATCCAACTGTTTTATTTCAAGGAGGTACTCTCAAAATGTTCCTGCAGGTTTAATAGTGGTAGGTAAGATTTTCAGATGTCATTAGGATTTGCTGAACTTTGCTGCCATTGAAGCCAACAAACAGGAAAACCTTCTCAGTGCTTCAGTGGCAAAAGGATTAGGCCTGTAGTGAGTGCTTTTTGAAGTCAAGTTCACTTGCTTGTATGTTCACAAGGATTAGAGCTTTGCAGTAATACAGTGATCACCTACATAATCATAATTTACGGCAGACCTGAGTATTCAGCAGTAAAGTATTGGTATCTGAAGTCTCTTGAGAAGTGGCAGGGTTCAGTTGTTCTGCTCCATCCCTCTCCTGGTTTGAGCCCTGTTGAGAATTCACTAGATGGTCTTTGGTAAGGAATACAGGCTTTCTTTGCCTCAGGTGCACTGTCTACAAAATGGGAATGTACATGCTTTTCAAAAATCCGTTCAGTTTCTCTCCTGCTTTTCGTACATGGGAGCGTCTGGCAAGGTAAAGATTAGAATGACTCATAGAACGGTTTGGTTTGGAAGAGACCTTAAAGCTCATCCAGTTCCAACCTCCCTGCCACAGGCAGGGACACCTTTCACTAGACCAGGTTGCTAAAAACCTGCTGGTGTTGCCTTGCTGGCAGGGCAGTGGTGATACTTGGTTCTCCACTCTGTGGAAGTGCTGCAGTAGCTGACTGAAGATTCAAAAGAATCTGTTTACCAGGAGGTTAAGCTTTTCTTAGTATGTGGCTCCAACTGGAGGTGCCATTTGTTTGGAAATGAAAAGGAACCGTGAAGGTCATCTTGTAGAGGCTCTTTCTACATGAGATGGGTTGATGCTCTGGATAGGTTGATGGTACAACTATTAGGATGAGCAGCCAAGTGGGTTCTGTCCCTTTAGGTGTTACTTCTCAGGTCTAAAAAGTCTTCCTATTAGAGGTATAATGCATGAGCATTCTTACCCATTTTTGTTCTGTGAGTCTGCAGGGTTTCCCCACAGGCACAGAGCAGACTTCACGCACCTGGCCTTCAGGTCCACAGTGAATAACAGGGAGGGATACTCAGAAAGAGCTTGAGTTGCTGGCACATGCACTGTGAAGGTACCTCTTTATCTAGGACTAGATCCTGGCTGCAGTCATGGATAGAACTCCAGAGCACGTAGTGCCTAGATGAGAATATATGTCATCTAAAATTCCTTCAGAGGGAAAAAGAGAATGATTTCCTGTGTTCATGAGCACTGTTTTCTGCAGTGTTCCTTTGGAAACATGGCTGGGAGAGGTGCTTCCCAGTTGGCCAACATCCACAAGTCTCAGCAGGTGTGGCACTGCCCACTCCACGTTCATTGCCAACACCCCCTGTGCAGATGAGCTTGGGAGGTTGGCATTGAATTCAAGGATGGAGCCAAAGCTAAATTTTATTTCTTTCAGAGAGGAATTATAGAACAGACAGTGGCAACTGTGTTTTAAAGGGCAAACTCCTTTCTTCTAGCTATTCTGCAGTCAGAATGCCGCAGCAGTAAGGAACTGAAAATAAACTGGCCTGGATTTTTCGTTGTCCATCAACACAACAGACATACTAAGCAATGCCAAATTAGAGTAGAGTTTTATTAATCAAAATTATTAATGAATTAATTGATGTCTTTTTAAACAAGGATTCCTTTTAATTGTGCTTTTTGAGACTTGCCTTGGTTATTGAAAACCTTGTGCTGCTCTCATAACAGTATGAAAGTCAGTAGCTTTAAGAGCTGGGAGGAGGACAGAGCAGGTAAGAGGAGGGCTTTGTCATTGTATCAGTGGTTTTGTGTTTACAGTTCATTAGTCTATGTTTAAAAATACCATGCTGCCAATTTAACTCACAGCTGGATTCATGTGAAGTTTGAAATTATCACTTGCTGAACAAAATCCTTCTTTTGCTTTAGCTTGCAGATTCGCTTGTGCCCTTGGAGATTAAGCCTGGTATTTCCTTAGCAACAGTTTCTGCCGTGTTGCATACTAAAGACAACAAGCATGTGCTGCAGGT